TTTAATTTTTTCATCTTTATCTTGTAATTCTTGTATTCATACTTTAATACATTACATCTCTATATATTAACAAAGATTTTCCTGTTAAGTCTTGGGGATTTAAATTGACAGCCAGCATTTACTATTTTTATTTACAAAAATTTTTTAAATGATTTTCATTCTTTCAGAGGATATTTCTCAAATATTTTGCATCTACGAAAAAAAACAAAATCTTTAGGAAGAATTAACAAAAATTTGTTGAAACGAAATTGAATACACTATCGGCAATGTCTATATCTTTGATATAGATATTTGAATATATAAATAGATAGATATATCCCATGGAATGGGCAATAGAATAAATGATCGACCGATTATCGTATTGTTTGATCAATACCTTAGACCTTAGACTTTAGACAAAGTGTATATGTATATAAATGCAACGTCTCAATTTTCGTTGGGATATACCCTTTCCCTACATGGCAACCTGTTTGACGTTATCAATTTAAGTATCTACCAAATTTTATGACTGTTCTATCTTAATGACGCTTATAGTTGTTTTATTCAATTTATTATTATTATTATTATTATTATTATTATTATTATTGAATTCAAAGACTATTAACTTATTATTTTAAAATATAAAAAATTTTTAATTTTAATTGATTAAGGAGATTTTAAGAAAATTAGACCAATTATTTTTATGTCTTTGCCGGGATTTTTATAATGCTTAAAGTCTCATCAGGTTTAAGATACAGTAGATAAGATTTATATGATTTTTTAATTTTTTCGCCAAGTTTTCAGCGCCCCCAACAATATTTTTGAGAAACCGCGTTTCACGCTTATTAAAATTAATAACATTATAATAATAATAATAATGGTTATGCGACTAAACATTGTTAATTTAAAGACTAATTGATGATATAATAAAATTTATATAATTAACTGATCTTACATTGTAAAACGCTAAGAATAATATTTAACAATGGTAGTAGAGTAGAGGAATATGCATAGAGGTGCAAGAAAGTGTGAAAAAGGATAATAATATAGTGTTACTCAGAATATTCTCGGTCTTATACACATATAACACATAACACATATATCTATAGAGATGAAAGATGAATATGGCATTCTGTATTGTAGATGAGCGTAATAGTATAAGAGCGCAAGAGTGAAATGAAAGAGTTTAGTTTAAGTATGTAGAGGTAAAAAAGGAGACGAGCCACGCGCGAAGGATACCTCACCTCACACTGGGATATCTCACCTTGTGTTCATTGTACTTGTTACATTGTTACATACTATACATTCAAATACATATACATACATCACATGAGTTTACTGTGTCCGTTCACTCAGCATCCCTTCACCAACTAACTTTTTTCTCCCATAATATTCTCCTTTTATTATTGTGCTTTACTTTTTATTATTCGGGTTTTGCTTTTCCGCACCTTGGTCCACCACCTCTGAACACCGTGGGGGGTTGCCAAAAAGGTAAATAAACTATTCAGCACAAAAGGATTTATAGAATAGAGTATCCAATCAGTATTCTGTTTAAAACAATTCATTTTTCGAGTCATTATTTTTAATTGTTAATTTCATAATATAATTCCAACGTTATTTAAAATATTTGCGTTTTTTTTTTTTATTTTTTTACTTTTATGATTAAATTGTCCGGTAGGTTCATTTTAAAAAGCATTGAAAACAGAAAATTTTTTCAAGAGCGCTAAAAACTTGAAATCCGAAAAAATCTTATAATCACGAAAAGTTGTAAGTAGAGAGTTTTTTTTATAAATTAAAAAATTATTTTTGTTTATTTACTATCAGAAAATAATAATAATAAACCTTGTCCAAAAATTTATTAAACAAACCAACATTGAGACATGTTTTTATTGCGCAAGTAAATTTAGACAATAATTTAAAAATTTAAAATTTATCTAAGCATACGTCGGCTTCTCTTAACTAAAAACGTGACTAGCCTAAAAATATTTTTATTGCTGAATATATTGTTAACTACCGAGTTTTGTAGAGAAAATATTAACGATAAACGATGAGAAATAAGAGCAGAAAGGCCTCCAAAATTTTAAGTTCCAAGACACTAAAAAATAGCTATGCTAATTTTTTTTTTTTTTATTATTGTACCCCTTCGGCTGAACTTCAAACTTCACCTGCGCATCCGGTTTTATGTTCTTTTCTCTTACAATATACTTATTCTATTTATGCATAGATGTCCTTATATACAAAAAAAAACACACTCGTACATACGTAATACGTACATACATATCTACCGGATTTTCTTCTTTCCGGTAATGCACTAAACGGAAATTAATTAGTAACCTAACGGATTTATTTTAAAAAGTATTAAATTTTTTATTGCCAATTAAGTCTGTAAAAAAAAGTAATAAATGATATGCAGGATTTAATGTGTCATTTATCATGTTACATGACACTTTTTGTTCGGAATTTTTCAATAGATTTAATTAATCTGATGTTCAGTCACCTATTTAAATATAAATTTACGTTCTGCATTACCGACATTTGATGACTCTTACCCCTTCCGTTCCCTATTCCTTAAAAATAATTTTTTTTATTTTTCTCATAATAATTGATAGTAATATCACATAATATTTGACACGTGAGAGCATTCGTCCCTTTTTAAATTACTAAAAAAACATCGACGCATTTATATTATTATTTACACATACGACATATTTACATAAATAAAAACACATGTTTTAACTTTATCTCGTAATCCTTTATTTTTAGTTTAACCACTTGCATACCCGACAACAATCTCTCTTAATATTCCTCCCGAGTATTATCCACGCGTATAAAACATGTTTTGATTTTTAAATTTCAAAAATACCGCGAATACCTCTCGCTCGCCGATACAAACATTAATAAACGTCTATTTGTATTATACGTAATCTTAAAACAAAATAAAAAAAAATCTCTTGTTCATATTTGAGAATAAAGGGAAAAAATTTGAATTATTTAAATTTTTGGCCTAAAAAATTTAACAAAATTTGATCCGGTTGTCAGTAAAAAAAAAAAAAATTTGATTGATTCGTCGACAGCAACCCTTCACATTCTTACCCTATATATTTATATATATATATATATATTAACATGTATTCATATTTATGGGAGCAAAAAAATCAAATATTTGCTCGCGGCAAATTTTTGGACTTTTTTAAAATATAAAATTAATAATATACAGTTATTATAAAATTTATTTCTATTTTTTCATTAGATATAATATACTTAAAGCGATGTCAGCGAACGAAAATTAACACGTGACAGTGAGGAGTTATAAACGCGATATTAGAGATATAAACTTGAGTGTATTTACAGTTTAATTGTTTGTCTATGAGTGGTAAAGTACTATACGGTCAATAATGATAGTACTGTGTAGTGTTATGTGAGGTTAATGTAGAGGTAGCTAGACAGTAAGCCAATGTGGATAGGAGATAATTAACGGAAGGATGATAATGTTATTTGTTGTATTTTTTTTATCAAGTCTTTTCCGTTTGGACTTATGGCTTGTCGCGAGTACGATTTTAGGAGTTACTCCTTTATTTGTATATTTATTTTTTTTTTTTTTTTTTTTTTTTAATTCGATTAATCAACATCAATTTATATTTAACGTCAACAAATAAAATCATAAAACTTATCGGTAGTTTTAAATATTTTTAAATAATTTTAAATTATAAGGAATCTTTCTTATATGAAGGGTTATATTTTCTAAAAAATAAAATCTTGGTCAATTTTACCGTATATATCTTTAATCCTTGAGAAAGAATTTTTAAAACAAAAACTCTAATTTCTACTGTATTTTGTAACTATCAAATTTTTAGTTTATTATTAAAAATAAATTATTTTATTTTTACTTTTCTAACCATTAAACTTTATTACTATCCAGTCAAAATTCTTTAAGTTATACGGAAAAAATTTTAAACCCATCGCGAAATTTTTATATAGAGTATATAATTCCATCAGATATTCGCCAATCGAGCTTTCTCGAATAGAGTCACGGAACTCTCCGAGCGTTAAAACTACAGTACATTCTCAATATTTCCAGTTTTTAGGTTAAGACAAAGTTAATTTCATCAAAATAAACGCAACTGTATCTCGAAAATATAATTTATTCAACATTTTCTCAGTTAAAATTATTGTCATAAAATTAAAAAAAATGAGGTAAATATTTCCAAGCTTTTATAGAATTTTTCCTAAAACTGCATAGTAATTATTAACTTAACTAAATTTTGTTGATAAAATAATAGAATGAATAATTTTAATAATATTTCAATGAATTTAAAGCAGCGAATAATAAAGATTGCGAATAATTTAGATCGTCGAAATAAGTAAATATAATAGAATCTAAATAGATAAATAAGAGAATTATTTCCAGTGTCTGAACAGACATTCCGTTAGACATTGATGTCTATGAAGACGATGATTATTTTTCATCGAAATGATGTACCTATGCAAACATAGGAAAGAAAAATATTTGCACGGGATTCGCGGGAGCTCATTATCGGGGTGACTATCTTTGTATCTTAACTATTCTTTTTTTTTTCTTTTTTTTTTTTTTTTTTTCTTTTATATTTCTATTTATTTTATGTAATGCATATTGTATATCTGTATAGATGCTAAAGTATCTCTCCACTTGGTCTTTGTTCATCACGATACATCAAATATATGTATGTATATATATATATATATATATATTGTAGTGAGATTTTTTTATGGCAAGACGGTTATCCAGGTGCGTGTGTTTTAAATTTTATAAAGGGAGATTGATTCGACATGCATAAATTAGAGGTGATATGTTAAAAAAAAATTTGTACGTGCCAGGCACCGGGAATTTGGATTTAGATTTTTTTCAGCAAAGATTGATAAATAGGATTATAACTTGATGAATTTTAATTAAGTTAACTTTTTTAAATTCATTGGGATTTTTTTGTAGAAAAATTATTTAAGTTTTCTTTATCTAATGATAATTTTTAATAAATAAATATTTTATGTGTTACAGTAGACGTAGTCGTTCTTCATCAGACTGCGAATCAAGCGTGGTCGGCGTATCAGAGCAGTACGGGACGGCAGTAGGCCGTGAGTCAACAGAGGAAGAGGGTAATCATCATCACCAACAGCATCACGAAAACCAGGTTGACCCTGAGGACCCAGAAGAAGCTTCAAAACGTGTCGCTGCCGTTCAGGTTCAAGTCCAGGGCATGGAGGGCGACTGGAGGGCGTACTGCGAGCATCCGCTTTCAGTAGCTACCGCGGCCATGCTCAACCTCCAGCAGCAGCACCAAGTCTCAGCGGTTTCTGGACACCCTGACGAGCAGAATGTTCCCTACGTCTACGAGTACTACAAGTTGCCCGAGAAGTCTTCTGAGGTTAAATTACCGCCGACTCACGAGTTATGGTCAACGTAAGTTTTTTTTTTTTTTTAATATTATCTCAAGCTTAAAATGTCACTCGTTTTTTATTTTCTATTTTATATGTTTTTTTTTTTTTATCGAAACTATTCGATCATGCAATGACGTAGGATGTTGTCTAGACGACTCGCTTACCCGCGTAGGCATCAATGCATCGTATCCAGAAAAAAAAAAAAAAAACCCTCCACAGTATATTTAATAAAAATTTCATTTATCTTTTTTAATTATGGTAAAAAATTTTTTTTAATTTAAAAGTCCACGACTGATAATGCTCATTGAATTTTTAATTTAAAATAAAGTTATACTCAACTCAATTCAACGCGTTATTATATTATGTAGAATATAATAAAGAAAGAAAGAATGAGTTTAGTTTTTAATATTATATATTTAAAAATAAAATAGGTTAAACTCAAATTGGTTTGAGTTGAATTTTTACGGTCGATTTGTTGGGTTTGCAAACTCGAATCTCATTCGCGTGTTCTCAATGACAACGGTTATTGTATATCCACTCATACACGCTCACAGAGACACATAGTATAATAATAAAATGCAATATGTAACATGCAATATATAAATATATATTAACTAAAACGGATGCTGAGGCTGGCACTAGGGGGGTTGATATATTTTGGGTTTATGCTTATGCGCTCAAAGTTTATTTACATCTCGTTGGTGATGGTCTTAGCTGCTGCACCCCAAGCAATATAAAATAAAATAAAATAAAAAGCTCCAGCGGTAGTTTTTGATTTATATCGCTCGCTTAGCATATTTTCTAATTTACTCTTTGAGAAATTTTTATCTTCCAACCCGACCAAAGTCATATATTTTTTTTGACAATAAAAATAGTTTTTTGCCATTACAATGACAATTGTTACTTGTATATATTTATCCGGGCGTTTTAACATTTTAAGTTACAGGGCTTAATTATCTCGCATTCCGATCTTATCTTTTTGTATCTCGCCGGGCCTGGTACTCAAACTATAACTATCAACTATCCCATGCCCTTTTTTAATATCATCACTACTCTATGCTAAGCATATTTGTCAGGTAACCGATCAACTTTTAATTGCTAATTTCTAGTGAATATTTTACAGTAGGAAACAATAATTATTACTAAATATTAATCCAATTTATATTCAAAATACCTGACAATGCCAAACGTTAGAACAATATCCCCGCATGGAAAAATATATATGCGAAAAATATATGCAAATATATATTTTCACATATATTTTTTTTGCGCTAAATATATGTCCGCATATATGTTCACATATATATGCGTAGATATATGTTCACATATATGCGTGCATATATGTTTACATATATGTGCGCATATAAGTGTCTAGAGATACACGGAAAAAAACTTAACTTGAATCAAGAAAGTTAAATTTTTCAAAATTTAACTATCTTGATTTGAGTAAAAAAATTCTCAAACTTGGAATTTTTTTTTCAGTATATGCTTACATATATGTCTACATATATGTAGACATATATGTCTACATATATGTAGACATATATGTGAAAAATATATGTTGACATATTTTTTTTTTGCGTAAATATATGCGACATATATTTTTGACATATATATTTCCCCATGCGGGTCACCGTAATTTAAATATCAAATGTGTGTAAAAATTTCTTTTTTCAAATTCAATTTTTCAATAAAATCTATTTTCTATTAATTTCAATAAATAATATTGTGTGGGGAAAAAAAAAACAAAATTCATAAAAATATTCGCTTACATACATAATTTTATCCTCAAAGTTTAAGTCACACTCTAACAAACTGTATAATAAATTATTTAAAGTTAAAAAAAAAAAAAAAAATAAAAAATTATTAGCGTAGTTACATTATACAGCATAACAAGTTACGTTTTACCTTTTATTTTTTATTTTAATAAAATTCTAAAGAAACTAAAACGGCATACGACAAAGTGTCTCACGACAAAATGTAACACGATCTCTATGCTCTGTTTCACCTCATAGTCATCATCTCACGTCACCTTTTCTTGTCTCTTGTATACTGTCTCCGTACAACAACCGTGTACAATTCCCGGTCTGGTGCATGCCGACAAGATACTAATTAAATTATTTAACTAAATAAATATCTCGAATGTGAACCTCGGACGGCACTTGCGCGTTAAGTTATCACCAAACTACCGGCAGTAAATCACAATAAAGACTCGGTGATACGTGTCGGGAATAAAATGTAACACTTTATTGTTTTATTATGCATATTTTTTGTTGTTGTTATCGTTATTGTTATTTTTTAAATAGTTTCTTCCGTCTGTTTTTTCTTATTTTATTTTATAAATGTTATTGTCGTCGGCGGTCTGATATTAAGCCCGTTTCATTTTATGATGTGACACTGCACAAAAACGAGGATCTTTGTCAGAGTCAAAGGGCATTTGACCATTTTATTTGAAAATTTAAACTCTTAGTTTAGGTCATTTACCCTTTAAATGTCTAGATTTTTAAAAAATTATTAAATTCACACTAGATATATATTTTATTTTACATTTAAATGGACCTTCACAAGGAGTATTCACAAGTACTGAGTTCCACTGTCTGGAGCAAAAAAAAAAAAGATTTTTTGCTAAAGTTTTTTATTTTCTGTGTAAAGAAAGAAAATTTTTCTAAAAATTTAGTTTTTTTTTTTTTACACAGAAAAAAAATTTAATTTAACAAAAAAATCAAAAATTCGCTTAAAAGTGCGACTATAAATATTCAAATAATTAAATAGAATGTGATTTATTGGCATAACATGACTACTGACATGTGTCAAGTTAATTTGCCCATGAAAGATTTCCGGTTAAACCTCATCGTAACCGGGAATTCCGGTAGTACCGCAAGTAAAACATAATCTTAGGTCTCCTCTTCACCTCTTGAAAAAAATAAAAAATAAAAAATAAGAATCAACCTGTCGGCAAACTCCCTGACCTCGGGTTGACCTACACTGAATCTCGTTGGATTTTGTTGCGGGACGAAAAATTCCTAAAATAACCCATTAATAAAATGGATAAAATGAAACAAGTAAATAAAAAATAAAAATATAATCATTTATCTCATTACAGGACCGTTTGTTCTGTACTGTCGCGTTGTTTTTAGCCGCGGATAATAAGCGAATAATGATTTATCGTATACATTTAGCGACAAGTGGAATGGCTAATTTGCTGAATAACTACTAAGACCGATGACCTTAAGATATATCAATATATTATAGATGTATTTATTTATATTTATGATTATACAGAGGTTAGCCAAATTATTTATCCCAATTATTATTATGCATTTATTTTTTGGGCAATCGCATTAATATATAAGATATATATATATGCAATAAAAAAAAAATATTACGTGAATAAACAACAGTTGGATTTAATTATGTATGTAAGAATTGATAAAATGAAATCAATTAAAAATGTTAATTATTATTTTTTAAATCTACAGTAAATATTTAAATGTCTCATTATATATTTCGGATTTTAATGGACACAATCAATTAATTTGATGTTAAGTAAGAAAATTCAAGTAATTATACAAACTGTAATTTTTTTTTTATATCGTTATTATTATTTAATATTGCGAGAATACGAAAAAATATTATCAAATATTTTCTAGTGAGAATTTTATTTTCTAAATATATTAAAATTTGCCGAAAATTTATGTATGTACTAACAGGATAAAGTAGTCAAAAAAAAATTGCATTTAATCCAAAATGATAAATGCATTATTTACCTCTTGGGGGATTCGAAAAAAGAAAGAAACAAAAAAAAAGCGATTACAAATAAAAATAATAAAAAGGATTTATAAATAATAAATGAAAAAAGGCAGAAGACTGCTCTTCGGCGCCCGTCGGATTAGCATCGCATTACTGATCGTCCTTTCGGATCCATTTCATATAAGCCGAATTCATAGGGTTCCAATCCATGGATTTCACACATACATATATATTCCTTCACATCTATACAAATCGAAAATATCGTTCCATAAATGGGTTGAGTTATGTTGAGATATGTGCTTGTAAATATGCATACTTTATTCGAGCCCGAGGTTATGACATATTCCATCTCACACTCAATATCATCTTCGTCCGCCAGAAAAAGTTTAGCTGGTTCGTTATTTCTTGTGCGTACTTGGTACATTGCGTCGTCAAGAGATACTCGAGACATTTGCGCATGAAGAGCACAGGAGCATCAACCATATAGGTACATATATTTATACGTATCTTGGTTGTGTGTATATCTCATACATATATGTAGAGGTGAGACGGGCATGAGACCATAAGAGAGCCTGCAAAAAAGGCTGGAGGAAACTTAGGCAGGTATCAGGTATCAGGTATCATCTGCGACGCATTGTATCGAAGCATCTGACCGTAGGGTTTTGGTATGTTCTGTTCGACGCATGTGCACTCGATCCTCAGAATTATGATGATGATGATGATGATGATGATGATGCTGATGCTGATGCTGATGGTGCCAAAAAGGGTGGAATTTAATTGTAATAATAAAGGATGATAGGAAAGTTGACGACTTGAACCAGGTTATTGCTGTGAAGATCCAAACTAAGTCCCCTGCCTTTACTTCAGAAATTTAGTAAGGGTAAGGCCCCGATTCTCTTCGTTTTATTCACCTTCTAACAATAATAATAATAATAAGACGCTCGAGGCTCGAGGCTCGAGGCTCGCGAGGGTAGACACTTTTTTATTGTCTGCATTATCATGCTAAATATAACATGTTAACTACTTGGTACAATCTCCTACCACTCGTATTTCCTTTTCCAAAGAATCTCTAGCTAACTATAAACTAGCTAACAACCAAATTGAGATAGAACCACCTATTGATTGTTCACGGGGGTTCAATTATCATTTATACCCTGATGTGTTTACTTAAAAACTGTCAAAGATTTTGATAACAATTTTCATTTTGTTATATTTTTTTATTCTACAGCGGAGTTATGGGTCAGAAACTCCTTGTCGAGAGCGCCGGCTCTCGATTAGAGAATTCGGAGAACGGAAGCGGTGAACTCCACCATTTTCTGCATCAATATAATCAGCAATCACCGAGTCCAAATCAAAATCTCCAGGGAAACATCCCTTTGCCCCTCAGCCCTCAATCTTTGAGACACGACGGTTCTTCGGGAATCGGTATCAAAAGAGAACCTGAGGACCTGAGTTCTTCACGTGGTGCTCAGCAGTCTAAACGGCACAAACAGGCTCAGCCGGATAGTCCTACGCCCCCGGGAATGTATCATCATCATCAGCAGCAGCAGCAGCAGCAGCAGCAACAACAGCAACAACAGCAACAGCATCAATTACAGGTAAATTTTCACTTTTTATTTATCTGTATTATTATTCTTAGTATTTGTTTCTTAAAATTTGATAAATTATTTAGCTGGAATTCATTATCAAAACAGATTCTTAAATTTTTGGCCCAATTTTAAGATTATTATAAATATTAAATTTCTTGATTTAATTCTTCAAAAATTTTAATAAATATATCTTATACTCTCTTGTAGGTCCAACAGTACGGAAGCCCCTACGATCCATACTCAGCGTGCAGTCCGCGGCTATCAACCTACAACTCCGGTTCAAATGCCAGCGGAAGTGCGACGCCAGGTCTTCACCAAGGGGAAGGGAACACCGTCTACGTAACCAGCGAAGCTCTTCCACCTCTAGCGTCCTCAAGTTCAGCCGCACTTTCCACGACAACGACGTCCTATACCAGGTACGAGGTGGTGCCCAGTTCGTACACCACCCACGCAATAAGGTCCTCGTCCAGCAGCAGCAAGGTCCTCACCGTAGACCTTCCAAGTCCCGATTCTGGGATTGGGGCTGACGCAGTAACTCCAAGACAGGACCACCATCCTCCGACAGCTTTGCACCAGGTTTGTTTCCACAAATTTCTTTCATCATTTATAATTTTTTTATTATTTATTGATATTAATAATAATATTATTGTTATTATTTCAGTCCTCATTCGACTACACTGAGCTGTGTCCCAGCAATAACAATAATGCAACGACAGTGGTCCTTGAAAGTGGAGCTGTTGTTCATCATCAACCTCTCCAGCTTCAATTACAACAGTCTCACAATCAGAGCCAGGTCCAGCGGGGACTGGTGAATCCTTCAGCTTCAGCTTCACCATCTACTACTCCAAATCCTCCTAGATCCAGACCTTGGCACGACTTTGGGCGCCAGAATGACGCAGATAAAATTCAGATACCAAAAATGTGAGTGATAAAAGTTGAAATAATTTTTATTGTCGCCCGTTTAATTTTTTACTACTTATTCATATTATCAATTTTTTATTTTAATAATAATGATAATACTACAATAAAAAAGAATTAATGGTACTGTTTTTTTTTTTTTTTTTTTTCTTCTTCTTTCTATATTGTATTTATGAATAATTATTTCAATAATTACAATCAGAAAATTTCTTTCCATGTTGTGTTGAAGTTGATACAAGTCGCAATAAAAATTTAATAGTGTGTCGCGCGGGCGCGGGCAAAGCTAAGTGGCAAGACTAGACTTGTTATAAAGAATCAATTGCTAATGGTTACCGGGCGTTCACCTGAAGTGTGGGTTTTTTTTTTTTTTTTTTTTTCAAACGGCCGCTTTTTTATGTTTATTTCCTCGAGTACTACCGACTGGTGACTGCTCACGCTTATCGTCTTATCATCATTGGCTCAGTTAACTAGCTCGCCCTGTTAAAATATTACAACTCCCTCACTTGTAAGCATTTTACTGATAACTATTCCGTTTTATTATTATAAACACTCGAGAGACACTGGATTTCCTAGTTTCTGAGCTGTCAGATACGGTAATTACATCTGATACGATACCACTTATTTATTACAAATATTTTTCCAGACAATGATGATTTCAGTCGCGTGTTTTGCCGCAACAACTAATAACCTATTTGTTGTTGTTTGATGATTATTGGATATTTTTTGACAAATAAAAGCACATTAAATCTTATTTATCATGCGTATAGACTTTTCGTTCCACACCTTTATCAGTTTCCAATAATTGACTGTTTAATTTCTCCAGAAGACTTTATTGAAAAATCAAAAAAAATTTTTTGAGCGATTTGAATTACCTAAAAGAGGACTTGAAGAGCTGTTATTGAGATAAACAAGCTTGAATTTCGTTTATCTGATTATTTTAAATAATTCGGAAACTTGTTGAAAAGTTTTAACCATTATTATAGATACATGGATGGTCAAAGGCAACTGATTGCGTGATTAATGTTTCAGTTATTCAGCGTATGGGTTCAAGTATCATCTGGAATCACCGATAAGCACGTCACAGCGACGGGAAGATGACAGAATAACGTATATTAATAAGGGTCAATTTTACGGAATCACTTTAGATTATGTTCCCGATCCAGACAAACCACTTTTGAAAACCGGACAAACTGTTAAGGTAATTTAAACTATATTATAACTATACAATAATAATAATAATAATAATAATAATAATAATTGTAATAATTATTTTTAGTGGTATTGATAATTATTATTATGCTAATAAATTGAAGCGAAATAAGCGATCGCCAGTCGAAAAAAGATAAATATAAATAGAAAAAGGTAAAGGAAGTAAACTCGATCGTTCGCGCTTAACTAAGTGTAACAAATCTGTGGTTTGATAACGCGATCAATCTATATATAACTTTAACGTTCATTCACCCGAATCACAAAAAATCACTGCACCAGTTATATATATTTATAGTGTTGGTTTTTATAGTGATGAAATTTTTTACTATAATTGTTGATTAATATTATTAATCTGTTATTAAATGAAAAAATAATTGTTTGTTGATTGTGATTGTGATAAAAATGGTAGATAATTTATGCAAGATTGTGGGATAACGCGGTTGTAAGTCAAGTAGCTGAGGCTAATTGAAATCGGTAACTAATTAGAACTTGTTACATATAACTGCTATAAGTGCTTGCATAGATAAATGGATTTACGAGTGAAACTTAATTTTTTATACTCTATTCTTTACTATTAATTCGATTAATGAATTAAAATACGGAAGTTTATTATGTAACTGTCTAGCAGTTTTCAATTTTATTTTTATTTAGTTTTTTATCGATCAATTTTTAGAGTATCATTTTTTTTAGTTTTAAAGGCACATACGGCTAAAATTACTTGAAAGTGCTTGAAAAATATTTTCCTCTGTCATTAGAGGTCTTTATTGCAAAAAAAAAAAAAAGTCAGTTTTATTAATTGAGATTATATGAAATAAAACTGTAACCAAAAGTTTGAACATAAATGCGTTGACTTTCTCTTGGCCAATAACTGCAATTATGTTAATTCTATTAATAAAAATTAAATATTATCATTATTATTACTTACAGAGTGTTGTAATGTTAATGTTCCGTGAAGAAAAAAGCCCAGAAGACGAAATAAAAGCTTGGCAATTTTGGCACGGTCGGCAGCATTCAGTGAAGCAACGGATTCTTGATGCGGGTAAGATTTATAAATATCTGCAATAATATTTAATTATTGCACAATGACAATTAATAAAAAGCAAATTATCTTATATTAATAATAAATTTAATAAAACACACACTATTACTTGCGCAAGCTTACTGTTCGAGCTAAGGATAACTATATATTTGAAGTTAAGCCGGTAAGCGCTTAACTACCAATAAAATTATCATAATCGATATTTTTTTTCTTTTATATATCTTCATTCAAATTAGCTTGTCAAGTTAACTATTTTATTTATACCATATTAATAATGCCAATTGTTAATTTATGCTTAATGCAAACATTTTTTTTTTTCTTTCCTTGTAAGGTTTTAATTAACGTTTTTTTTTTTTTCTATAGACACGAAAAATAGCGTTGGATTGGTTGGCTGTATCGAAGAAGTTGCTCATAATGCCATTGCTGTTTATTGGAATCCATTAGAATCTTCAGCAAAGGTAAAGATTCTTCTTTTTTAAAAATTTTCCTTGTAATGATCCTCTGTTATTTAAAACAAATAAAACTGTCAAGTTAATCGAGTTAACTGAGTCTCAAAATATAAACAAAATGCTCTCCGGATATTAATAGCTCAGTTTAAATAAATCCAGTAGAATTTTAAATAAATAAATTTAAATTTCTACTGTTAAATTTAATTTAGGTTAAAAAAAAAAAAATTTTTCATTAAAGTTTCTTTTTTTTAACATTATTTTAACAATTATTTTAGATAAACGTCGCAGTACAGTGTTTAAGCACGGATTTTTCAAGTCAAAAAGGTGTAAAAGGATTGCCGTTACATGTCCAAGTGGACACATATGAAGAACCACCTTCACATTCTCATTCATACACGCCACCTTCTCATCGTGGTTACTGTCAAATAAAAGTTTTTTGTGATAAGGTAAATATATTAATTAATGACTTAATTAAATAATTTTTCTAGATTTGTATGTTGTATGTCATGTTATGCATTAGTTGAGACTTTAAAGGCTTGTTGTGATTCGACCTTTCATCAGTTAACTATATATATATATATATATATATATATATATATATATATATATATATATATATAATAGAGGAATTGAATTAAATGGAGTATAATTAAATGTAGGGTGCCGAAAGAAAGACACGCGACGAAGAGAGAAGAGCAGCCAAGCGTAAAATGACTGCTACAGGCAGGAAAAAGCTTGATGAATTGTATCACTCTGTTACTGAACGCAGTGAATTTTATTCAATGGCTGATCTTCATAAACCACCGGTATTATTTTCACCACCCGCTGAGCACGCACTTGACAAGGTAAATTATTTTACTTTCTTAACCTAATTATACGATATTTATTATTGCGTTATGCAATAATATTATTTGCATGACTTTTAAATGTCATATTTTTTTTAATTATTTTATATTAAATAGAATTAATATTTTTAATAAACTTTGTATGATATATGTATATAAAATATTAGTAAGAAAAATTTTCATAAATTAATTACCAAATTTTTGTTCAGCAGTTTTCAACAATGGAATTATCAGGGTTTTACGGGGCGGGAAATGGCGGTGGTGACACAGACACCTCATCGCTCAGCAACGGTGAGGGCGGAATGAAAACAGGAACCAGTAGTCCGTACCCAGGATGCGGAAGACCCAGTCTTCCAGCTTTAAAATTTCACAATCACTTTCCTCCAGACAATCTCGCCGGAATCCACGACAAAAAAGACTCGCTGCTGATGCAAGTCCAGGAATTGCAAGGCACCGTTCTTCAAGGAGTTCCTCCAGGTGCTTTGACCTCCACTGCAGGAACTCTCGTCTCCAGTGTCAGTAATCGTCTGCATCTACAGCATCAGACTCAGCAATCTCACCTCCGTGGAAACGATTCTGAAGAACGGGTCATGCTTTATGTCAGACAGGAATCTGAAGATGTCTACACGCCGCTACATGTCACGCCTCCTACCGTCCAAGGACTCCTCAATGCTGTAAGCATAATTGTCAATTTTCATTTTAATTACATAATTATAATTTTATTTATTTTTAAAATTAGTTAAGTAGGGGTACCTCCGTGTGACGGCCTGTTTATTAAATACTTTTTTCGTCACTTTTTTTAACAACCAATTAAAATATAGAATTATTAATTCTATTATCATTTACTTATAAATAAATTTTAAGAGTAGGTAAAACAAATTTCGAGTAAAAATCTTGATTATAACGTATAAGTTATATTACCAAGTCGGACATCCTGGATTTGACAACAACAAAGGATAAATCAAAGTATATTTTTAGACATGTTAAGGAATCAATTGTATGTAAAAAATAATAAAAAAAAAAAATAATTATTTGATTTTATCACACGGGGGAATCCGCCGTTGAAGATTATTGAAATTAGTATTTTATAAGTTAAGTAAAAATAGAATATCGTGTTATATTTTTTATTATTTGTTATTATTCAGACTTGCAGCAGAGAAAACTGGATTTTGGAGCAGTGATTATCGGTCACCATTAATACGTTTTTTCCTCGAGGTTGCAAGCATCCAAGCTCCAATTTTCTCTGCTCATTAGACGGGTAAGTTTATTGTATCCGTCAATAACCCCGAAATGCTAACAATGTACTAAAAAATATTGCTAATTTATTTTTATTTAAACAAAATTTTACAGTCCGTCAAATTTATTTTTTTATAACAATGAATTTTACTTGTTTTTTACTTGAAAAAAAGTTAGCAAATTTTTTTATTTTTGTTGCTAATTATTAAAACTACTTGTAGCTAGAATATAATATTAAATATATATTAGTCAAGCATTGAATTTAATATATAAAAAAATAAATAATGATTAATTATTTATAAAACAAGCTTATTTTATCATAAGCTACAAGTACTTTTAAAAATAAAAAATTTTATGTGCATAACAGCGCTATTTTGTATATACACTGTTAATAAAATTCCAATCTAAAAAATAATAATAATAATAATAATAATAATAATAATAACAACACAAATAATGATGAATAATATCACAGGAAAGCATGCAACATTGTAACTTATCATGATTAATCTTCCACGTAAACGAATAAATGCTCTTTGATTGGGTAATTAATGTAACGCTTACAAATTAATACACACCACTAGGCTCTAATGTAAGTAAATCATATACATCGCTAATAAATAACCATATTATAAATTAATTGGTTAATTAAATAAATGACCATTTTCATCAGCATAAAAAGTAACTGAGAAAAAAGTGGAAAGCAATAAAAAAAAAAAAAAAAAAAAAAAAAAAAAAATAATAATTTTTTTTTGTTAAAAAAAAGTAAAGAAAGAAAAATTTTTTTTATGAAATATTTATGATAATAAATTATTAAAACAAATGAAAGTAAAAACAAAAAAAAGAGTGTGATGAAAAAATTCTAATGTTCTACTTTTTTCTATTTTACAGATTGAATCAAAGTACAAAATTGCATCCTCGAGTATTAATAATCTGTATCGAAAAAACGCAAAGGGGTAAGTTTATGTGTTGAGTGTGTGTCATCATCAATAATAAATTATCATATAATCATTAATATACTACATTTTTCAATTAATTATGCATGGAAATTCAATATTTTTATTAATATATTATTGTTTTAAATATGATAATTAAGTCAGTGATTGTTTAATTAATATAGTTACAAAAATTAAAAATTTTAATTTCGGCTTTTAGATAATTACTAATAAATTTCTGTATTATAAAATAACAATAATTATCTTTTTAGTTGGTTACAAAGTCAAAGCTTGCGACCATCCATATAGTGTAAAAAAAAATACTACAATAAATATAATTTCTTGAAATACAACAGTAAAAATATAAATTTATTTTTCTATATAATTTGTTACAGAATCACGGCGAAAATTGACGATGAGATGATCCGCCATTACGTCGACGAAGACTTATTCCTATTGGAAGTGAGTCATTCAACGACACCGGCAAACCCGGAATGTAATCAAAGCAATCCAGGGTCACCTGGGGATCCAGATGACCCCAACGACTCGTCGTCAATAGGTTACGATGTTACGCTAATTAAATTGCAAACACAATTAACGCCCCCGCCTCCGTCATTATCATCATCAACTTCACCCGCGACTGTAAATTCTCATATTCACGGCCACGTTCACGAGGTCACGAATTCGTGAGCTCTCTGACTGTTTAATTAATTAAACTTTTTTTTTAATTAATTTATCAATCAATTGATTTTTTAATTAAAAAAAATGGCAATTAATATTATGATAAAAATTAATTAATTAAGATAATAATTATTTTTAAGAATATAATTTATAATAATAATTATATTGCTACTAATAATGATATTAATTCTGTATTTTTTTTATCAATGATAACAATAATAATTACATTAAGAATAATAATAATAATAATAATAATAATTATAAAAGATGAGTTAATGTCAATTGTGTTTGTAAATATTTTTTATTAACAATTATTGTTTTATATTATTATTATTATTATTATTATTATTTTAACTCATGGTGGCAATGAGGAACATCAAAACACTTTAATTAATTAATTAGACAAAACGTTATAATTTTTTTTTATTGATTGTTAATGTTATCCGCTGGCAGTCGGTTTTTTTGGATGTTAAAAAAAATGTTTGTTAATTTATCATTGAAATACATTTAATAAATTAATAATTAAGTTTTTTTTTAACATCCACGTGCCGTTTTAGGCATCTATATTTTTATTTTATATCATTAATTATAACTATTTCGTTTTTGAAACGAAGTGCATGATATAAATCAATCAAAATTGATTTAAGTTGATCGTTAATATTTTTTACTAACCATATAATTATCATTATTACTATTATTATTATAAATATTATCGAGGGTTGAAGAGGTTTAAACAAATACGTAAAAGATTGAAATATTAATTGTTAAGTTATGAGTTTATGATAGATTAAATTTTATTCATTATTATGAACATACTCCCCCAATAAAAAGTCTATTAAGTAAAGTTCATATATTGTATGTTGCTTATACGATTGTTCTTATCTATCTATTTTATCAAACTGAAATTGATATCCAAAATTTTAAACTCTATTGATTATTTTTTGTGTTTTTTAAATCAATATTCATCAAGGTACAACCATTTCAAGTGTCATAAAATTTTTAAAAACATGATTGATTTATTTTTTTAATTCTAAATCATTTGTCAATTATTCATTTAATAAAACTGTTTTTCTCTAAAATTAATAGTTTTCAAGTTACAGCCATTTAAAGTGTCATATAGTTTCCAAAAATGTTTAATTATCAGGTTTCAAATACTTAAAAAGCCATTTTTTTTTTAAATCATAAATTTTTTCTTAAGAATAAAATGCCCTAAACTTTCCATAAAAGCCAATAGTTATTAAGTTATAGCCATTTAAAGTTAATCAAAAATTTTAATTAACAATGCCCTACTTGCCTACATTATTTATATACATGTATAATTAATTTAATAAAATTACCAGCAATAATTCGGCGTAAGTCGTAGCTTAAAAGAAAATTAGTCGTAATTTTTTTTTTTTATTTTTTTTTAATCAAAAAATTTAATATAAAATATAGTAATGTTAAATCTTAATATTGTCATACCGAATATCAAAGCAACGATCAAAATACGCTTGTAAATGCATGTTACAAATATTTTGTTATAATTAAATAAATAAAAGATGAAAGAAAATTAATTAGTTGAAATATTAAATAAATAAATATTGTTTATATATAAATAACGCATGAATGTAAATGAATGGATTTTTTAATTTTTAATTTTTAATTTTTAATTTTTAATTTGTAATTGATTGATTAATTATTAATTGTCAAACAAAGTCAGTGCGATATTAAAAGTTTTAAAATATTAATTTTAATTAATTATTAAAGTATGTGGAAAAAAATATTGTAAGAGATTTGTTTGTTTATATTTATTAATTTTAATTTTTCATTTTAAGACAGACTCAATACATGACATTTATAATTATTGATTATTGTTTTTTCATTCATCAATTTAAGAAAGAAAAAAAAAAAAAAAAAAAAAGTAAGAATATTGTGAAAGATGGATCTCTTGTATTTTATTACATGAAAGCCCAATTTGTTATTAATTTAATTATTAGATTTCTTATTTTTGAAAATTAGAAAAAAACAATAACAAAATGTTATTGCTGCTTGAAGAAAAAAAAGTCAATATTTTGCTCAGCTAAAAAATAAAAGACTAAATAATCAAACCTGATATCAAAAAAATTACCTAATAATTTTACCCAAAATTAATGGGCTAATTTTTTTTCCTTAAATAATTTTTAAATGTATATTATAGCAAAAAAAAAAAAAAAAAATTATATATATATATATATCTGTAAGTAAAAATTTATATTTTAAGTTATTTTATTAAAACATTGTTTAACATAAAAATTAAATGTATGAAAATAAAAAATCGCGATATCTTGCCATCGTGAGATTGGGCCAGAGGTGATATTACTATGATATGATATATTATTATCAAATATTATACATTTTCAATACCATAGTAACAAAAAAATGATAATAAATACATTTTATAATAAAAGTTTTTCTTTACTTATTTTTACTAAAAACCTCCCATTATGAATTTTCAAAAACTTTAAACGCCGATAACTTTTTAGTGACTCGTTCAATCAAAATTTTTTAATTTTTATTAGTCATGCAAACTTTTAAAAAATTTATGCCACAAAAAAATAAAACTTTCTCAAACTTTTTTTTAAAAAATAAACAAACAAGATTAAATAAAGCGGTAAATTTAAAATTTTGCTTACTGAGTCGTGTACGTTGGCGACCTTGACGAGGCCAGTGACGCCAATATATTTTTTACCTCTCACAAACGTCTACACAAACAAAGATCTCAATAGATCAAGTTAATCCCAATTTCCCTTGGCTTATTAAAACACTAATTTGCATTTAATTTTATAATATATGACAAACGTCACTCAAATTCGTTTTTTGAGTGTAAATAAATTTCTCTTTTTTGATCTTAAGCTCCGTTATTATCTGAATAGAGTAGCCGCGGGCGATTTTTTTTTCTAATCTTATGCTAATCGTGGGGAAGTTTGTTTATATGAACTATAAAACAATTGTTAAAAAGTAAGAAAAAAAAAAAAACAGCCTGCAAAAAATTGAGAAACCTTTCTATTAACCAGAAGATTATTTTGGTTAATAAGTCCGGTTTGACGGGTTGTTAAACTTCCCTTTATCGATTATCCCCCCCCCCCCCAGATCAACGTCTTCTAAGTGGAAAAAATAAGTAAATAAAAAATAAAACCTCTATCATCATTTACTTGCTGTTGAATATATATTTATATTTTATTTTTGCAACTAGATATCTATTTTCTTGGAGATCACGCGAATCCAAGTCCTTTTCCAGACCTCGAGAAGATAAATAAAATAAGTCGTCCTGTACAGTCACCTCAGTTATTTTTTTCTCTACTTAACTTTTAATGGATTATTTTGCTTACTTTTTTTTTTTTACAAAATCCATCGAGTTTTTTCCACCAACATTATTTGGATTTTTTGTTAAAAAAAGTTTAAAAGGGCATAATTTTTCAATGACTTGTCCTATAAAAATTTTGTGTAAAATTTTATTTGCCCGCCATAAAATTCTCCTTTAACACAAATCATTTTTCTTCTATATTTTCTATTTAAAGTCATCGGAATTACCAAAAATTTTTAACGATTTGTTCTATAAAAATTTTGTATCAGACCTTTTTTTATCCTTAATAAAATTTTCTACAAATATTTCTCATAAAAATAAATATTTTAAAAGTATTACCATAAACAACCATTTTCTTTAAAGTTTATTGCCCTTTTCAAGGTTATACTCGATGAATTTTAATCTTGTTCTAACAAATTTTTTTGCTAAATACCTTTACTAAGACAAACGATACCTTGGGGTGGAATAGAAGCTAGAATTATGAAGAACAGAAGGAGAAGGGTTAATCCGTTATAAAGAAGACGCGCCTTGGAAGACGGTTTAGTCTTATCCTGACTACCTTTCCTACTCAACCGTACCTACCTGTTTTTATTATTCGACCGAAACTTGATTGAATCAGTCATTTGTTTATTAATTTTCGTTTTATTTTCTTATTAAATAAAATACTTATATTAACTACTCACTGATTGACATCCAATGAAAGTTTTGTGATAATGACCCTCAAAATGACTTTTCGTTTAATAACTCTTATTTTTTGTTGGTGTTGGTGTTGTTGTTGTTGTTATTGTTTCGAAGACGCCGTTGTCCTAGAAGGTAAAAATTGTTGATATTATTTTTAATTATCCTTAATTAAATGATTACTATATTGTTTACTATTGATTGTTTTCATTGAAATTGACCTTGAACTACGAAAAATGCCGTAGAAATTAAAAAAAAAAAAAAAATCATTGTGTATTCATGACGCGTTTTCTAGCGTACCGATTTCACGTCTGCAATAATAATGTTATAAGTGCATGTGTTTATTGAGGCTTTACATGTTATTTATATACGTTTAGAGTGTTCTAATGTTTTTTAAATCGTGTCAAATTTTTACACGTAATTTAATTTATATCAATACCAAAAAAAAATTTCACTGAATGCCAATTTTTAGTTATAAGTAAAATGACAAGTTTTTTCGTATAATAAGTTTAAGTTAAGTTATATTGCGGTTGTGTAAAATTAATTTTTGTTCTTATATTTATTATGAGCATATTGAGAATTTATTAAAAAAAAATTTAAGTACCAACAGAACCGCGTCCAGGAGCCCGTAGTTTAGATTGGACGGGAAAAAAACAACCAGGAGGGCGATGCTTGACGTCAAAAGGTGAAGTGGGTAATTGTACAACTTTCAAAGAATGTTACCCGTACTTTAAAATCCCGGATCTTGGGGCTCTTGACGGCTGGATCCTCGGAGTCTACGACACATGCAGCTACACCCGGAGTGACGGAAGAATGGGTTACGGTATATGTTGTTCAGGAGGGCCATCAACGACGTTAGCTCCAGCAGCATCTGTTCCTGTTGAAGATCCCGAAGTAAACTTTTTATAATATTTAAGAAAAAAAAAAAAAACTTAAACTTTACTGTTATTATTATTATTATTATTTTTAAACATTTATTAAGATTTAATAATTTATTAATCACTGCCCAAATCCTTTTAATGATATTAATTTTTCTATAAATTAAAAATTAAAATACTTACATTGTTCCAGGAATACGAATCACACGATAAGCCAATTGAACTGGCCCCTCAATCACCACCGATGGGCTCATGGCCACCTCCATTGCCTCCATTGCCGACCCATCCACCCCATCACACAATTCCACCTCTCCCCACTCATCCCTCATCATCATCTTCATCTTCATCTTCTAGGCCGACAACATCGAGCTCCTCGAGGCCATTATCAGACGAGTATCCTGCTTCTAGCCCGAAGCCACCATCATCATCATCATCTTCTTCATCAGTGACGATGACCAGCAAAAAGCCAAGTTCAACAACCTGGCCGACTAAAAAACCTGGCTGGTGGCCAGGTGCCACCACAACAAAACCTGTAACAACGACCACCACAACGACAACGACGATTGTCAGCTCCTCAGAGTGCGGGGCCAAGAACGGGGATCAGGAGCAAGACAAAAGAATTGTTGGTGGTCACAATGCTGATCCCGGCGAGTGGCCTTGGATCGCCGCGCTTTTTAACGCTGGAAGACAGGTTTGTGGCGGATCACTCATCAGCGATAAACATATACTTACTGCCGCCCATTGTGTTGCTCAGTGAGTTATCTACAATTATTGTCATCACCATCATCATCATTTTTATTTATTTTATTTATTTATTACGTTTTTTAGGTTATAAATTATAAAACTAATAAAACTTACCCGTTTTTTTCCGTTTTTTAGCATGAACTCTTGGGATGTAGCAAGACTCACTGTGAGACTTGGAGACTACAACATAAAGACTACCACGGAAATTCGTCACGTAGAAAGGCGTGTCAGAAGAGTTGTCAGGCATAAAGGCTTTGACGCCAGGACGCTCTACAACGACGTAGCTTTGTTAACTTTGAATGAGCCCGTGGAATTTTCAGAGCTCATCAGGCCAATTTGCCTGCCAACCGGCTCTCAATTGTACAACAACAAAGTTGCAACTGTTATCGGGTGGGGATCTCTCCGAGAAAGTATGTTTTTTTTTTTTTTTTTTTTTTTTTTTTTAATTAAAAGATTTTTTCAATTTAATACCTAATGCTGTTATTTATTTATCTATTTTAATAATTTTCGTGGTACTTAATTTCGGAATAAAATTTTTTAACCTTATTTTTACAAACGAAACCGTTGCTTTGTTCGCATTAGCGATTTCTTCGGAAATATTGTGATGATTGTGATTCTGTTTCTGGAATATGAGTCTTTAAGATGGCGCTTGGGGTTAGATTCCAGATTTCAAGATGGCAGGTCTTGGATTGAGCGCGGAGTTTTTGAATTTTAAAAATAATCCTTTCAAGTGAAAAGATTTTATTAATTGAAAATATAAATTTTATTATTATTGTTTAATATAATTTTCCAGGTGGACCTCAACCAGCTGTATTACAAGAGGTTGCCATTCCAGTATGGTCTAACGCAGAATGTAAAGTTAAATATGGCGCAGCAGCACCTGGTGGTATTGTTGACAGTTTTCTTTGTGCTGGACGTGCTGCTAAAGATTCGTGTTCTGTAAGATTTTATCTTAATATTTAAAAATTTTTACTAGAAAATTCTTAAAGATTGTTTGAAATATTATATTTTGATATTTTGATTTTTAGGGTGACAGTGGTGGACCATTAATGGTAAATGATGGCAGATGGACACAAGTCGGAATAGTAAGCTGGGGAATTGGGTGTGGAAAAGGACAATACCCAGGAGTTTATACACGAGTAACTCACTTTCTCCCTTGGATTTACAAAAATCTAAAATAGATATAATAAAAACATTAATAATATTATTAATAATAATAATAATAATAATAATAATAAACGTCCCTTATTTATCAATCCAACACAATAGAAGACTGGGCATTTAAATAATGATGAAATGAGACTACTTTTATTTAATTATATATATATATATATATATATATATATATATAAGTTTATCTTTCGTATAAAAAATTAAGTTTCATTACAATAATTCGTGTATTATTAAAATTAATTAATTAATTATATTATTTTATATATCTTATTATTACGCTTATAATTTACATACAATTCATTAAAAAAATAAGGTTTACTACTTAAAAAAATATTTATTTTACACACTGCAGAAACCCTTGGCCGCTTGTTCAACTTTCACAGCTGCTAACATTTAGATGCTGCATTATATTTCGAGCTGAAAAAATATTTAACCATATATAGATTAAAAAAAATAATACTAAGGTAAAAGACCCCCCCAGTTATTGACATAGGCATAGTTGATTGACACTTGCAATTTTATTCTAATTAAACAAATAAAATGTTCTCAGAAAACCAATTGCATTAAAATTTATAGTTCCAAAATTGTATTTATTAATTTATTAGAGTTGATTTGTTTTATTGAATTAAAATAAAATTGCAAGTGTCAATAACTGGGTCTTTTTTATCTTACTTTGAGAAAAAAATAACGATAAAATAGGTTACCTTGAAAATAACAAGTATCCCAATTATCATCAGGCTTGGGTACAAAAGGGGGCACAGCTTCTTCAGGTTTATCCCAAGGAAATTCACTAAAAAACTCCATTTTCCTGACCTCCTTAGCCGTCGGCCTCTCCTTGTGATCCAACGTCAACAAGCTATCAATCGCTTGAATCGCGTGTTTTCCCAAAATCTCATCGCCTTCAGGCCAAGGAATGTCCCTCTTTAAAATATTCTCAAAAACCTTCTGTGGTGTCTCATCATTAAAAGGAGGAATCCCCGTACAAAATTCATACAAACAGACCCCCAGTGCCCACCAGTCTACCGCAGCGCCATGACCTTGCTTCCTGAGTAACTCTGGTGCCAAATAGTCAGGAGTACCAAGAATCCTGCTGTCCGATTTGTCTGCCCCTCTCCTCACACTTTTCGGAGTTCTATATGGTGTTGTAAAATTAGCATCTTGTAAACTTCCCGCAGGAGTTTTTATCGGAGAAATTCCTTGTGGTGACCGTTCTCCAGTAGCAGCAGCAGCAGCAGCAGCAGCAGCAGCAGCAGCAGCAGCAGCAGAAGATGTCTCTGGAAGCTCAAATCTCGTCTCTTTTTTATCTTTTCCTAGACCGCCCAATTCTTGTCTTAATCCTTGTCTAGAAAAATGAGAAGAAACCGGAGTACTAAAAGCAACTCGAACTTCATTTTTGTATTTTACGGTCTCCGGTTTTTCGTCTATTCTTCCGAGAATTTCTCCACTAAAGCTTCCTGTCCTGGTCAATAGTCCTCTGTTGGGTCTTTTGGGAGTCGAATTAGCATCCAGGCCCATCAAAAGAATTTCCCTGGTGAGTCCCGTCGAGGATGAGCCTCTTTTTCTTTTAGTTCCTAGAGAAAACGAGACCAAAAAATTTGATGAAGGGCTGTTTATGCTCCTGGAGTCACCCTCAAAAGTCGACTCGGTGTCTCTGCTAGTTGTAGATAACTTTCTTGAGGATTCAGCGGTGTGGTAGCTGCTTCCTCCACTGGGTGCCTCGAAAACCTCGTCAGCATCGTATTCAATGTCACCTGCTGATTGAAACGGATCCACCCCAGACATGTGGCTGCTGTCGGCCTTTTTCTCCAAAACTGATAGTAAATTTTGTGATACTGAAGTGTCAATTTCAGTAATGGACCCGTCGAGGTCTATTGAAGACTTCCCGGAGCCAAATGACAAGTGAGAGGTAAGCGATAACAATTGTCCAGGTGTCCGAGCTAAGAAATTCGCAGTAGTGGGAGTATGATTTACGAGGTCAGAGATTTCTAAGTCACGGTGAAGAGCGTTGATGCGACTCAATCCAAAATCGGTAAGCTTAACGTGACCTTCTCGAGAGAGGAGCATGTTGTCCGGCTTTAGGTCTCTGTGGACTATTCCGTGAGAATGAAGGTACTCCAAGGCGAGGCAAACTTCCGCAGTGTAGAACATTGCCATTGACTCGTCCATGTAGCCTACATTACCCAGGAAGCTTTTCAAGTCCCCGCCGACCATGTACTCCATCACCAGATAGATGCAGCTGTGAGATTGCAGGGAATAGAACAGCTGGACGCAGTATGGACTGTGGGTGATTGCAAGAGCGTTACGCTCGATAACTACCTGCGAAGCCATGTTCTTGTGGATCATCTCGTTCTTTTTCATTACTTTTATTGCGTAAACTTGGTCCGGGTTCGTTTTCTTGTACCCCAAAAAAACTTTCCCAAAGGCTCCTCGGCTTATCGGCTTTACTATTTTAAAATCCGTGATCTCTGGGACCTAAAAATAACAATTATCATTTTAAATATTGGATTTTTCATTATCCAGATTATATTTTAAAATTACTCCAGAACAAAAAATAAATTAACTAAAAATTTACTGTCAGAATGATCAGAATCAAAAATAATAAAAACAATTAAATACTTGAATACGAATTAAAAAAACGAAAATTACCTTAGTAGAGCGATTAACAATTTTCGAAATAGTATTGAATATCGAATTATTTTTATTTGTGCTTCTGTTTTGTACAGGAGTTTTTTCTCCACAATTGATCTCAGCATTGCTATCATTATTTTCTTTACCTTTGATAAAGCTCTCAATATCACTGTCACTAAAATCTTCAACCTCAGACCTTTTATTCTCAGAAAATTCTTTCAACTGAGCCATTCTAAATATAACCCCAAAGTCGATTTAAATGCATAAATATCACCAACAAAATTAGTAAATTAATAAATAACAAATAATTTCAATCAACACATTTCAATTTAAACCACTGAAATAATTAATAACCAAAAGGTAATTTTATAAATAAAATTTCAACAAATATCTCTTTTTTTGTATATATTTAGATCAAAAAAAGAATATAAATAATTGCAGCTGTCCCGGGCGACAATCAACAGCTGCTGGGACTTGTTTTTTTTTTTTTTTTAACCATTTTAATGCGCATGTCTCAAAATCACAGTTTTAAAATTTAGTGACAGATGGCAGCACAATATTGACATTTTTAAATTCTATATATATATATATTTTTACCGCGGGGTGCCAGAAACTCCACTGAAATTATTTTCATTCGAAAATACAAAATCTACAAAGTCATAAATATCCGAAATGAAAACTATTCGAAATTAATAATGATCCAATAATTTTTATTTTTTTCCAAATCAAAGTCAACATTTTTTTAAGAAAAAGACTTACCTCTTTAGGCGACAAAATCGATATGTAGTCCTCGTAAATATACCGCGCCTTTTCCTCTATTTTTTCTGGATTATTTTCACGCTTGAGTTGCTCACAGGCCAACCAAAATGCGATATTTTCTTCGCTGTACTCGCTCATGAGGAACTCGCGGAACAGTTTTCTGCCAGTAGCACTGCGCATCAGTTTATCAAATGATGATCCCCAAGATCGTACTTCATCTAGGCCACAGCATTCCGTACCAGTGCCATCTATCCCGTCCAAACTATCCAGAACATTTCCAGTTCCTGAATTGGGATCTGTGAGACCACCACCTGACCCAGAATCTGGCCCAGTTCCGCCGTTTCCGCGTTTCTTTTTTGAATCTCCGGTTCCCGAAGTTCCATTTCCTGTTCCAACTACTGCCAAACTGTTGACAAAAAATAATTATCATTTTTTTCTATTTAAATTTTGTCTAATTTTTTAAATAAACATTTTTTTTTCTCTCAACTCGCTTCTTACCACTTATTCCTGTATCGAATGCATGGAACAGAAATAAAAAAATTACGATAGTTTTTGATTAATCAATAAAGTTTTTTTTTTATTTTAATAATTTTAAACTCGAAAGAAATTTCCCTAAAATCAATATTTTAAAAGTTAGACAATACAAATGCCAGAGATAAAAAAGAAACTATAAAAACAAAAAAATTTTTCATGGATAAAATTTGGAGCCTAAAATTACCATAAGATCAATAGTTGGTTAGGTGCTGCTCCTGATGTTATTAAACCCAAATTAACAATAATATTTATGCCCGAGGTGAAAAACTTTACCATAAAAAAATTTCACCCAGTTTGAAGTTTAAAAATAAAATTTATAAACCGTCTGATTTTCATTGATATCAATAAAAAATTGAGCATGTACAGGTGGGAATCCCTACCACCCTTCGGAAATAAATAGAATAAAAAGCATGCGGTTAAATATTGCACAGCGCTTGCGCAATAAAATAATGCTCTGTAAATAGGTCGTCGAAATAAGTTACTTTTGTGATTACCCAATAAATAAATAAATAAAATATCATTATTATTATTATTATTATTATTATTATTATTATTATTATTATTAACAAAAAGGGATAAAATATTTTAATCAACCGTATCAGTATAAAACTATAATAAAAGTCTATTAAATGAAAATATTCTTCTAAAATAAACTAAAAGACCGTTTTAACGATATGAGTATTTCCAACATATAACACATGTACGCGGCATACCATTTTAAACTGTTGTGATCCACATTGATGTAAAAACAAAACCTGGATGAATATGAACAAAAGAGATAAAAAAAAGAAAAAGAAAAAAAAAAACAAGTAGTGAAAAAGAATAAAAAGCAAAAAAATAACATACATAAATAAATTGAGGACAGAGGTACTGCCGAGCAAAAGAGGGAGACAAATAGTTTTATTAATGGTTATATTTTAAGAGAGAAAGAGAAAGATATTGTAGTTATAGTTAGGATTACTACACGCTAAACGGTTATATTCGGATATTCGATCGAATTCCCCTTCTCATCTACATCTGTAAACGCGGATAACGCGGATAACGCGGATAACGCGGCTAACGCACGTGTTTCTCTACTCGTGACACATCAGCGCATGTTCCGTTGTGTTAATATTATAAAAAATTAATAAACCATACCATATAATAATATCCTATCAGAAAAAGAGATGAGATAACTTGAAAAATATTTGTCTCACAGAAAATTTTCTTTTATTTAAAATATGCCAAATCTGCAACAACTTTTGTTCCTAAAATTTACTTATTTGACCATTGATTTAAATGATAAATGTCCTATTCGTTATCAATATTTTCCGAGTTAACTACAAATTTATAAGTTGGAAAAAAAAAAAACAAATTTAAAAGTAAAGGAGCGGTAATACCACGAGCAACTGCAACAACACCACCAACACAAGCAGCAATTATCTTTCTTGCTCCGTCCATGGGGTGGATTTGATCGAGGATCTTTCTGTCCTAAAGATGGTTGTTGACACTCCTGGAGAGTCTGATCAGACTGGGCTAAAGTCTGCTGTTGGGACTGAGACTGCTGCTGGTGGGATTGTTGGGGTGTCTGTTGTTGCCCTTGAGATTGGGCACGGAGACGACATCCGCTGGTAATGTTGTCACTTGTTGGATTACTGTGGCTCACGCCGATACTCATTGTTGCTGTACCAAGTCCGCTCGACATCTAAATTTATTATTCATTAAACGATTAATAATAAAATAAAGAAAAAAAGAAATAAAAAATCAATAGTTTAAAATCGTTGCAGTCTATTTAATATATCCGATACTTAAAAGATTAAAAGATCCACCAATAGTAGTTACTGGGAGATTTCTCAAAATTGTCACAACTACTAAAACAAAATCAACAAGATTGAAAAAAAGAACAAAAGTACATACCTCTAACATTGCCCATCCAGGAAGCAAGCAGCGCTTGCCACCACCACTTAATGTATTTCTTAGATTCTTAGATTGAGAAGCACACAACTCTTGATCTTTTGTTGCTAAGTAATTTTAGGTGCAGGCGCAGGAGGGGATGTGGGACTTTGTTAGTCCCAAACTTTTAACCTAATCCATTTGGACACCTCCAGATCTGGCCCTTGCCCCGCATGCTTCCTGCACCTGTTACTCCGAAATTCGATCACAACTTGAAGGTTAATTTACTCCGAAGAAGACTCAGTAGCCAGCAGCATCCCCAGGCTTTCAACAAGACACCCTGCTACATCAGCATCATGATTCTCCAGCATTTCCCGCGTAATCACCAGCAACTACTGTTGCCACGTAAAAGTTATCTTAGCTAAAAGATCACGATCAAATTTTGTGGTAAATCTCATAGTGAAATTCCAACAGGAAGGAAAACTAATAAAATTAATCTTTATCTCTGTATGGAACCAACAGCAATAACGATAACGAATTTAAAGCGTTGGCGTCAACTGCTATGCGTGAACTATATATTGTATATATCAACAGCATCGACAAAAAATGGAGTGATGTGTTTAGGGAGCTTGCGTGATGATCACGAACTAGCTTTAAAGCCGACCGAGTCGACACACTGCTGGCGTATTGATTGGCGGGCGGACGACCTCACGAGGAGCGTCGTACGACCTCAGCGCACTGTGTTTTTTTTTTTTTCTTCCCTTTGTTTTCTGAAGCACGGGCTCCTCTCTCGCATCAACAAAAATAATCTTAATAAAATCTTGTCAATTGATTGAATTCCTGATTAAAGGTGGTGTTCCTTCTTGAGTCCTTGAGTCCTTGAGTCCTTGAGGATTGCTTTTATTGGCTGGTGAATCACATTTTATGATTGTCGAACACTGCACTGTCCAAAATAAGCTGAGCCCTTATTCCAACACTAAAACATATTAGGGAATTAGGAGAGCTTGTTAAAATAATTTTTATCGAAAAACAAACTTGTCTTCTTTTGTATCATTAATAATCATTAAATTAAAAATCCACCACCAGGTAAACTTAAAATACCAACGTTGTCTTTTAATTAATTTTTTTAATTTTTAAAACACTCCGGAAACGTTTATGTTGACGGCTCGACGGCTCGACGGCTCGACGGCTGAGCCCTTCGGCGTACTTTCGTCAGACAATCCGTCTTGCGCTTAAGCTCCCCCAGTCGTAAGCGCTCGGAAATCCTCGTGCTATGTTGCTGACTGTTGTCGCTCGCCGACGTAGACGTAGACGTAGACGTCGACGTCGACGTCGTCGCTCTAGTCAATATGGCGCTCCATTTATTATTATCATTATCATTATTAATACTATTGTAGCAATGTGTTCTTCTAAAGCTGTCCCTTTTTTGTTGGAGCGCCGGCGCAGTGAAAGCTTTTGTGTCAGAGTGTCGGGGATGATTTCGAAAAAGCTAGCTAAGCGGTATAAGATTGCTCGCAGATTTAAATGTTACGGATATGATAATATAAGTTTCTAAGCAAGTTGTTTTTTTAGCTGTCGGTAAGGTTACTTTTCATATTATTAACCTGGTCTAGGTGCTAACGCGCTCTCTTTAGATAATTTTCCTCAATAACTTTTATTATTATTAATTTAGACATTCGTCAATTAAATTAAGTAATTACTTTTCTTATTTATAATTAAAAATATATCGAAAGTAATGAAATCTTATATCGATAAAATGCTTCTATATATTTTTAATTTTTTTCTTTTTTAATGATAATTGACATTGTCAATCGTTTAGAATTATTTTTTTCAACTACAAATTTTTTTTATAGTTGGATTTGGATTTAAAAATGTTTTTATCATTTGATTGCTTACATAACAAATTCAAGTTTAGTTACTAGTTTTTTTATTTTTAAACAAAATAAAATAGAATAAACATATATTTTTAATATTATTATATTTTACTGTTAATGATAATTAAAATTTTTAGTTCTTTTGAAATCATTAACTATTTTATTAATCTATTGAGCTTAAAATTTTTTTCTAATAGTAGGTAAGCAAAGAATTTTTTTTATTTAAAATTCAAATAAAGTTTTCGTAAAAACTTACAAAACTTTAGTTTCAAAAGACAAAACTCGATGAAAAATTCTAAATAAAATTTCCAAAACGAATTTTTTCAATAAATATCAACGAAAATCCCTGAAAAATTTAAGAGAATTAGTGAAACCCAGGATTTTCCAACAAAAGCAAAAGCAAACCCTTCCAAGAATTATCATCCCATTTATTTATAGTACCTCATTGAACAAAGCACGTGTTCTCGATAATCCCAAAACAAAAAAAAAATTCTGTTCCCATCTCTACATGTACATATACACAAAATATAATAATAATAATAATAATAATAATAAAAATAGAGCCATTGAATGTGAAGAGTATGCGTTGGCGTAGTCGACGTCAGAACCAGACATACGATTGAAGAGTGTCCATAGTGGGTAGTAGTAGGTAGTAGGTAGTGGGTAGTGGGAGTGAGGATTAGGGTCTAGTCCCTCTACCTTTCGCCTTCCTTTTCTCAAAAGATCCAACTTGTACTTGTCCATAATAAGACACACATACACACAGAGACAGACAGAGACTCATACTAATAAAGACTAAAATTTCCAAGTACAAGTCCAAGTGAGGATCCAAGAAATCGAGCAAGGGACAGCGGGCCTAAGCCTTGGGAGGGTAGGGGGTAGGGGGTAGGGATCGAAGAACGTTTCACGTTGTGTAGGTATAGGTATGCGTGCGCACATCACCAACACCAACACTAACACACTCTCAGTGAGTATTTTGTGTGTTGAGCATGCTGATGCTCATATTACTCATCTCTTGCTTTTATCCGAGTAGTAGAAATAAATCCAAGTCCTACATATCCTACATATCTTACATTGCTGAATGACTCCTGAAGAGGGGGTGGGTGGACATTTTCAACTGCAACTTCTAACTACACCTACACACATAGAAGACACATAGACACATTTATATAAATACCAACACTGAAAGAAGTTACCTCACTTCAGCCCCCCTCATCCGCTCAACCATTTTGGTGGCTCCCTACCCCAGTCGAAACCTCACTCCTAATGTAAGGGGAAAGTCGTCCCCTGGTCTATCTACCCTTCTCGTCCCTCGGGTCTCACCCCCTCCAGCCACCCACAAAACCACCCGCCCACCCACTTGCCACCCGACTGCCGTCGAGGAAACAACCTGCAACTCCTAACCGGCTTTCTATAATTTTTATTATAACTTTGTAAATCGTATATCTATTAATATTAATAATATTCAACCCTGTTGTTGTTGTTTAATCATCATCATCATCATCATCATCATCATCAACCTTGTCAACAGGACATTACTTTTATTTTGGATTACAGTGATCAGAAGCAATCACCTCGTTGAAACTGACTGAAGTTGTTCCTGAAAAATAAATAGGGTAAGTTTATCTTCATTCCACTCTTATTCGTCACACTATATTATATTTGTTAGCATCCAGCACACTGCGCCTAACCACCCACGACCCCCTCCACACCAATAGTGATAGCACCGTTTTACATTTTTTTTTTTTTTTCCTTTTTTTTTTAACACGCATGCATAATAATTTAAATATTAATAATAGCCATACTAATTAATATTTAATACCTGCATTTTTAAATAATATAACTTGGTATAATATAATTCGGTCGTTATTTTAGGTTATATTTACATTATATTATTTTCTTTCAATGACCCAGCTAGGCTGATTCGGCGCTCACGTTTGAGCTTACTGACGCCATTTTATATAGCTGTTTTTCATCAAGACGTCAAAATTTTTGGTTTCGGTTGATAAAATACAGAAAATTATGAGAATAAACTAATTTTGGGGATATTTAAAATATTTTGCACGCTGTAATACCATCTCCGTCGATTAAGAATTCTTTTTACGAAAATGATCCTGCGCATGCGCCGGATCGGGGGGTTTTTTTTTTTTTCCTGTGATAATTTGTGGTGATTATAATCCTATATATGTTTATGTTTTTGATATTTAATCAAGTTGATGACTGAAATGTTGATGATTTTTTCAATTTTTTTGGATTATCTGGTGAATATAATGTTAAGAATGTAATGGTTTTGTTGGGATCTATTGATTTTCCCCTCCATATCCAGTTTGATCGGTCTTTGTCTTTCTGCATGACATAATATAACCGCTCACACATGAGAGCGTCTGTGTTTTTACATTACACTAGGCGTCAGAGTGTGATATGATGTTTAAAAAGACAAGTCGTAGTAACACCACTCTTTACTTTGATGGCCATAGTTTTAGAGTATGCTATTTTCAGGAACTATTATTGTACTTGTTGGATATTTTGTACATGGATTTATGGATGAAACAGATGCTTTAGTGCATGAAGCATGAGGAGGCATGAGTTTACGATGCTAAAGGCCTTGTAACACGCGTGCGTAGACAAAACAAAGAAATCAAGTATAGATATGTTGATTTTATTGATGATTGTACGAGTTGTTAGGAAATCAATATTGCGGATTCTGTTTGTTTGTTTTGTTGTTTGATGCGTTTTTTTTTCAGTATTTTTTGTTTTGTCCGCAGGCGATATTGCTGTTTTATATTGTTTAATAATTTTTTCGGTCCATTAATTTAATTCAAAAAAATAATATTAAGAATTATTTTTCTAAAATTAAAAGTAAACAAAAATTTTTTTATTAAAATCTTAAACTTAAAAATTATAATAAGTACATTTTCTTTTTTAAATATTAAAAATAGCTCCAACCAAAATATTATTAAATATTTTTTATAAATTTAGATAAAATTTTTATTTACCGAAAGCCAAACAACATTTAAAATTATCGAATTTATAATTGAGATGAAAATTTAATTTTCTACAAAATTAATCCGCATTGATTAAATTTATTAAAAAAAAAAAAAAAAAAATCACTTGACACAAACGATATATTAGACGATCCTAAAACACACACAAGTTACTAATGAATGTTTTATTATTTTTATTACAGGTATTAATTAGATGCAATAATAAAAAATGGAGAGCGGTGCAATTGGAATTGGTCGACTTGACTGCTATGAAGATATGTTTAAAGAAATAACCCGTAAATTATACGGGGATGATCCTGACCACAGAAGTAATTATTATAATATTCAATAAATTAATGATAAAATGTCGAAAATTTTTGAATAGGATATTATTAATAAAAAGTAATAAAATAGAATGATACTAATGAATTATTAACAGCTTCCAGTGTCCAAAATGAATTTGAAGCTTCAGTGTCATATAAAACAGAAGATGACAACGGAGCCAACGATTCTGACGATGGTAATTGGACGTGTGAGGATGAACCGCTGAAAGGAACAGACGGAAGTAGAATAGCTGCTTACAATCCTGGAAAAGCAACGTGGCGTTGTGACGAATGTGGTAATTATTTTTATAATAATAAAATAAAATTAAATTAATAAAAACAATTTTTAATAATTAACTTTTAAGGAGATTGCTTAACTGGAAATCCACGTGACATCGCTGAACATTTTATGGAGCTGCACTCATCCCGATTGCTTGATAATCGGCATCACCGGGACGGCACGAGGAAAGATTACCTCCACAGTGACCCCAAGCTTGAAGATATACTCAGTTACCTGGAAAAAGTGCGTGACAAGGCTGAAAGAATATCACCGCCTTCAAGACGCACTCAAGAAACTCAGACAATTCCTGCTGCTTTGTTACCTGTTACTTCTAATTTTTTGCTTCAAGAGTTACCTTCAACACCTCCGCAACACCTACATTCGGTAAATATAATATTATAAAAATTATAAAAAATATATATTAGATGTATCTAATAATAATTTTTATTTATTTATTATTATTATTATCAGAGTCCAACGATGATGACTAATTCGTCAGCAGTAGCAGCAGCAGCAGCAGCAACAACATTAACGAGCAGCAAACGTTACACTTGCCCGTACTGTCCTTACGGAACAGATCGCCGTGACCTTTACACTCGACATGAAAACATCCACCGGGAAGAAAAGCCTTTCCATTGCTACGTTTGCTACAAACCGTTCAACCGCGCTGACCACGTTAAGAAACACTTTTTGAGGATGCATCGTGAGCATACCTATGAATTGTCAAGGATACGTCGTAGTCCGGGGTCCTCGGATCCAAAACCGCCTTTGATGCAAGACAACAGCGCTGCCAACAATAATAATAACATTAATGGAAACAATCAGAATAGCTATACTAATTACAATAATAATAAGAATTACCAGTTACCGACTAGTCAGACTAATCAAACGACCAATAATCCAGTGAGTAATATTTATCAGACTTCGATGGCTGCGGTTAATAATATTCCTGACAACAATTGTGGCAACAGAAGGATCCAGCCTACGGGTTGTAATAGCAAAAGTCATTTGAAAGCTGGCTCCAAGGGTGCTGAAAGAAGGTTAGTTTAATGTTAAATTTAATTAAAATTATTATTTAACAAAATTAATTATTTTAGATACACCTGTTGCTACTGTTCCTGGAGCGGTGTCGACAATTGGTGTTTAAAGCGACATTTAAACACTCATCTTAAGCCCTTTGCATGCTCACTGTGCGAATACAAAGCAGCGAGGGCCGAAAGACTGGCCACTCATGTCCTAAAAGTCCACAACAAAAGACAGTGCTCCAGGTGCTCATTTTTGGGCGAAGATTCGGCACAGCTTCAGTTGCACCAGTTACATGTCCATCGGATCAACAATGGGAATGTAAACGCAGCCATGGTCAACAATACCAGCGTTGTAACGACTTCTACGGCACCGGCCAACCTCCAAAATTCTTCACCTACCACGCCATGTCGCACCGATCCTATTCAGTAAGTAAAATATTTATTAATTATAATTATAATTATAAAAATAATAATAATAATAATTTTTTTAGTTTAAGTGGCGGTCGTCCTCCTCCAGGACCCCCGGTATTTCCTACTCAGTCAACAACAATAGTTCCACCACCTACGACAATACTTGGGTAAATTAAAATTTTATATTATATTTTTTATTAAGTTGATTTTGTATCGATTTATTTACTCAAATGTGATTAAATATGCACCTTTCATTGTTTTTTTCGTTTTGTATGTGTTATAATGTTGTTTATTATTTTTTTATTTATCAGTTATTATCGTTATTATTATTATTATTTTTAATTAAATTATTATTGTATTTATTCAGCATGCTTTACTAGTTATCTTGTTGAAACAATCCATTAAAAGTAAAAATATTTTGTTTTAAATAGTTTAAGGATCATTTTTAGGATTGTAAATTTTCTAATTCAAAAATTAATGATTAATTTTATTATTATTTTATTACACTATTAACTTACACTGGATAATATATTTTTGTATCCCATATTTTTTATAAAAAGTTTTTTTAATTTTTCTTACAAAGTTTAAAAAATTTTTCTCTTTTACGAAATTTAAAATTTATATATTATTTTTGATTCAATTTTTATTAATTCATAAATAATTAATTTTGTTCAATCAAATGGATTGTTTTCAATAAGAAATTTAAATTTTAATAGTATAAAACAGCATCATAAATTAGTAGATGAAATTATTACTAAAGAAAAAAAAAAAAAAAAAATATTATGACTATAACTCTAAACATTGTATACAACAGCGCCGCAGTTGTCGCGGCAACAAGATGGTAATGATAAACAACATTAAGACAACAACGATCACGTGATTACATCACGAAGATAACTAATTGATCAGGTGTGTTATCACTAGCATTAACAAAATAAGGTTATGTAGAAGAAAGTAACCTAAGAAGAAATAACAATAAAAAAAAAACTTTTTCTACATAACCTCTATGCCTACTAATCCTTTCAAACAATCCGATATTGTTTTTACAAAGACTTTATTTATCAGGATAACTAATGGACGGAACAAAAGGAAACAAATAGCGCCGCGTAAAATTATCAAACACGAGAAACATGAACAAAGTAACGACGATGAGCAGGAAAACTGTTACGAGGGCAGTGAAAATAGAAATTACGAAGAAGAAGATATGAGTGAAGATGCTGGGAACAAAACAAACTGTTTAGGCACAAGAAGCTTTAGGTGTTACCTTTGTCCAAACAATGCACACGCAAGAGCATTATCAACGAAACCCTATCATACAAAAGCATCATTAACGTTACATAGATTATGGCGGCACTCGCAAAATAATAATATTAACAAAAAAATTATTGTCGATAGATATAAATCCAAGTCGGCTATGATTAACCTCTTGTGATGTTAACAATCGACATTTATAAATTTATATTGTTGTACCAATTGCTTACCAATTATAAATGTCATTTTCACAGTATGTATTGTTGCGAAGATAGTCATCTCATCATTTTTTAATAAAAAAAAGAAAACAAAAAAGTAAGCGTGCAATGAATATTATTGATTATGAACAAATGTGTGAAGAAATATTTGTATAGGCAAACTATTAGACAATTAATGTGAATACTTTTATATATATTTATTTTTTTTTTCTTTTTGATAACTATAGTCTATAATTATTACCAGATTTTTAAACTCGTACGTTTTTGTTTTGAATTTTTGTATATTCATTGTTCCGTTGATATGATAAAAGCAGGCTAGTACTTTTGAGATAATTATTTATTTATTATTATTATTATTATTATTATTAGGATTTTGTGTTGTGTAAAATTTTTGGAAATTCCTTTTTTTTTTAAGACTTAGATCTTGTGTTTGTAAAAACAATCTTTGATATTGTAATATTGTTTACGTTATTACATGAAATATATAAGATAATAATAATAATAATAATGATAACAAAACTATTATATTTGAAACAAAAAATTTGTTTTTGGTATTCTAACAACTAATTTGAACCTCTTAAAAAAAAAAAAACTGTTCTTTTTGTCACAAGCACAAAGTTAATATAAAAATCTATTTAAAACTTATGTTTTAAACTTTTCCTCAAAATGGCGGCGTGTAAACATATATATGACAATGGGCTGTTATAACATATTTAGATGTTTATTATTTTTAAAATTTACGTAAGCAGTATTGTTATAAGAAGAACAATGAAATACATTTACATAAGCAATGTTGTCATTAGAAGAACAATTAAGCCCATTTATTGACTTGTCTTAAGAAAAATAAACGGTATAGTATATAAGCACGGATTTTGCATCAATGTGGAATCATAACCTAAAAGATTTTAGGCTGAAAATATTGTAAGTAATAAAAATTTGACAATTAAAAAAAAAAACAATGTAAACTGCGTTGATAAGAAATAGAAGAAATAAAATTGTGATTAATTTGCAGACCAAGATGCGTTTTATAATTGTCTTGTTGGTTGTTGTCATGGCTATCTACGTAGCTGGTGACTGTGGTAGCGGGTTATGTTATGGCGGTGGACTCCTGAATGGTGGAATCCTGAATGGTGGAATCCTGAATGATGGAATCTTGAACTCCAATAGTGGAAAAGGAGAATGTAGTAACTGCGGCCGTCCTAAGTAAGTTTTTTAGGTTATGTTTGTATTTTTTTTCATCGAAATTTTCTGATATATTTAATATATTATTATTTATAAATTTATTTAATTACTTAATCAAAATTTTTATTCTTTGGAAAATTAAAGATAATATTTTATATTTGTTTTATCTATATATTACGTTAATCAATAATATTTTTTCAGAGGATGTTAAAATGACAGCTCAGTTCTCTAAATGCTGCTGCAATATATAATAAAGAGATATTTTTCCTGTGTTTTAATAATTAATGGCTTACGCAATGACATACACTTTGTTATTTAATAAAAAATAAAAGTAATATTTAATATGTGAAATAACAAAACAATAATTTTTTGATTTCTTCATTTAGAAAATTATATAAATTATTTTTCTAATTCTGTCAGAGAACAAAAAAAAAATATTATTCTGCATCATTTATACCTATAGGTTAAGTTTTTTTTACTAAGAAATAATTAAATAATTATCTTTATTGTACATACGTTTAATTACAAATTAATTAAAAAGTTTATATACTTTTGAATAAAAAATAAAAATTATCAGATAAAGGTTAGAAAATTATTGAAAAGAATTTAACTATATATATATATATATAACAAAATAACACTTATTGAGCATTATTTTCAAAAATATATAATACACAGAAAAAACAACTTAAATAAATAATAAAAAATTTACTTGTGTATTGATATTTAAGATATTTAAGATAGATTCATGTAATTAAGTTTAATTTTAAGGAGGATATATAAAGATATAATACCAGAGTCCACCCAACATATATTATTAAATTTAATATTTAGTTTATTTTTTTAGATAAATTATTACAAGATGGGGATTTAATCCCGCTAACCAAATTAGATTATGTAGTGATTGTATAATAATAATAAAGAGTCGGATTGCAGATGTGTTGTTGAAGATGTTGCGGTCTCAAGTATTAAGTTTTACACCTGCTGGAAAAATAAAAAAATTATTATCATTTTATTAAACGAAATAGTACAAAGTATGTACGATAATTATAATGAACAATGATTCTGTGAATAAGTTAAAATATGATGAGATTGATTTTCATTACAATAATAATTATGTTGATCAATATTTTCTCATCAATGATTTAATAATTGTAAATTATAATTTTAATAAGTGACTTTAAATTAGAATATATATTAACAGAATAATTTATAGGAAATTATAACCTTGTTACTAAGACTTTAATTCTAATTAGTTGCATCCGCTGCAAATGTCGTTTTTATGACTCTCCGAGGATAAGAGATTAATACCCACACCATTTAGCACGCCATACCCACTCGTTGAATCGCCACCAATAATATCTGCAGCATTGCTTTGCACATAGGCAATCATGGCAACGAGCAGCATAATGGCAAATACGAAACGCATCTTGATGTTCTGTAACAAAAAAATATTTTTTAAAAGTTTGATTTTTTTTCTTTCACAATCATGATCATGATGATAATGATTATGATGATTATGATGATTATGAGGCTTTATTTGATAATTAAAAAAAAAAAATACCTATGATTTAAATCCTGATTGAGATTTAGGTGAATTTTTGGATTGTAATTTTTGGACAGTGACGTCCAGCTTTTTATACTCCCGGTTGTTTTGTTAAGTAAGCAGTATAAACAGGTGAGCAATTTAAAAGTCCGTTTTTAAATTTCACCTGTGTTATTGTTTTTCAAAGACTAACCACAAACGTATATGTTATTATCATCATCACAATTACAACAAAACATCCATTTGTTAATATATTTTTTAGGCACTCAGACTTGCGTTATTAATCATAAAAGAGGATAAAAACTTACATATGATTAGTGATTAACTATTAAATTATTTTCGCAACGTTGTTATTATTGTTAGTGATCAGAAGATAATTTTTACATTTTTATAGATGAAACGCGACACCGCATTTTTTTTTTTTTACTATTTTTCATTAAAAATTCAAAAACTAAGAGAAATAACATTTATATTTAATTTTAAAATCTCAATACTTGTAACTACTGTCTTGGTTCTTTATTTCAAAATTCAATAACAATTATATAAATATAATTATCATTTATTAACTATGTTTCAATATTATTTATTGTTATATGTAATGATGTAAAAAAAAAAAAAAAAAAAAAAAATAAGACTCGTAAAAATTAAATAGAAATTTTTTTCAAAAATTTGTTTCATCCTAATTTTCAAAACAAATACTAACGTTTAATTTATTTGGTCTCTTATTTGCCTGAAAAGCCTAATTAACTAATTTAAATCTATACAAAAAGGTGTTTTTCATTTTAGACCATAACTCGTTTTCGTAGATTTTCAAGCTCCGAGTATAAAAAAATTTTATTATTCTTAATTATTCAGCTTTAATAGTTTAAAAAATAATTTTTAAAATATATGCAGAAACTACATATAAAGTTTATAATTAAAAATTTTCTTCAATAAAATCTAGAAACGTTATTTTTATTTCAGTAAAATGTTTTTCTCTGAGGATAAAATTTGATATGGGTTTCTTGAATGCACTTGAAAAAACATAGACGTCTTATTATTCCGGTTTGTACTTGACTTATCATCAAAATAAAACCCGATAACGAAACATTTTGTATAATTTTACAAAACAATATTCAAGGTAAAAAAATTTATTAAAATAATTTTTATAAAACATCCTTTTATTAATTAATATTATATAAAAACATAAACAGATGATATTCTTACGTATAAAGTATAAAAATAAACATTAAAATCCATATATTATTGCGTGGTAAATTCAACACAATGGTTTACTTAATAATGTAATCTTTTTTTTTTTATTTTGAACTTATTTCGAAATACCTGTTATTTTAAAGCTGTCGGTTTCTTGGTTTCTGATAAAATTAATATTCAAGATAATATCTCTGTGTTCCCAATACATAAAAAATTATTTTATTTTATTTTATGAATAAAACTATTTAAATGTAAATTACACCACTAATTTACTTGAGCACCGGAGCTATCTTTTCAACAAACCGGCCAATTATTGGCAATAACTTCATTTTTTCGGTTACAAAATCGAGGCAAAGACGAGCCGACTCAAAATTCTTTACAATCAGCCAAGCCACACCAAAATAAAACCCGTAGACTGCTAATAGATGCACCACGTACTGTCTGCAACAATTTATTTTTTTAACTCGTATTATTGTAAAATATAATCAAATTTTTACTTACATTTTTAGATGAAAGCGAGCGCGAGGCAAAGTTTCTAATTTTTCTTTCATGCAGTAGACCCTCGCGCCCAAAATAATGTTTTTTATGTACTCAGCTTCTTCCACGGCGAAGAAATCTATGGAGAACAATTTTTTATCCAATGGATGCATTTGTTGCCATAATTTTATCAACTGCTCGTTCCGGAAACACCACTCGCGAGTGGTAAAGTACTGAAGGACTTCTAGTCCATCACTTATACGCTTTTGAATGTGTACCATGCTGAAAGTTTTTATTAATTTAATATATCATATAGTAACGGTATTAATTAAAAATGTCTAAAAATACTTACAAACGTTTCTGCCGGAAAATTAACAATAAGAAATCGATGAAATATGCCGGCAAAATATGAAAAAATAAAACAAAAAGGTTATGGATAAACTTGCTGCTCCTAATATCGCCATCAGGATACCAAATTCCGGCTTCAAACGGATAATTGTAGGCAATTGCTTTCCCTTTTTGGACAACATCTGCCCAACTTATTGGCCGGACTCCACTCTGGGTAATATTGTAAACTGGAATATTTTTTGGTCTATACAAAAATTACTTCACTTAAGACAAACTCAAAAAAAAAAAAAAAAAAAATGATACTTTATTAGTTGATAAATCCGTACCTTTGTTCAGTAGTACCAATTGTTTGGCTGATAGCAATTAGAGCATTGATTGCCAAGTCTACAGGAATTAATTGGGCATGGTAGTGTCCATTGCAATGGACCGAACGGATAACTCCTTTTCCAGCGCCCACAATGATACCTACCGGGCCGTTTAAACTGTCTACCCATCCTGGAACCGGTTCTTCCCACGATGGAGTCACTGAAAAATTTTTAATTTTGGTTAAAATAATTATTTTTTTTTTTTTTTTTTTTTTTTTTTCCAGAACTACAAGCTTTGGTTACAATATAAAGAACCATATTTATTATACCGATAGAGGGCCGAGCTATGACACAAGGCAACTTGGGGTATTCGTTTGCCACCAGGGTTTCGGCCAGCCGTTTTGAGTACGTGTAAGTATTAGGATGTGGTTCCAATAATCTTAAAATAGATATTAATTTAATTAAAATTTAATTAATTTTTTTTTTTTTTTATTATATAAATATACTTACTTGGGAGTTAAAAGTTCCAGAGCTTCAGGCTTCAGCCATTGAGTCATACGCATAACCTCATTTGGATCTTCAGGAGAATCATAAACACACTCGCCCAGTTCTTCTTGATCAACGTGACAAAACGCGGTGCTCAGATGAACAAAGGCCTTTAATTTTGGAATCTTCTTAGCGAGTTCCAAAACCGCAGCTGTACCGATCGCATTCATTTCAATGGCGTCTTTTAGCTTCGCTTCTAACTTGAGTGTTGCAGCAAAGTGGAAAATTATATCAACTTCGTTAATTAGAAGATTTTGCTGGGATTCACTCAACCCGAAATTTTTTTCAAGAATGTCACCAGGTAGTACTTTTATTTTGCTCAGCACGTGAGGTTTATTCGTCCGAACTCTGTCAAATACCTGAAACATTTTCGAAAATTACTAATTAAATAATTAACTCAGGTCATATTAATCTAATAATCTCAAAATTATTCAATATAATAAATGAATAATAAAAAATATAATTACACACCGGCAACTTTAACATATCATCAAGTCTCATTTCCGGTGATCGTCCTCGCTTGGCTCTCAGCAGAATATAAATCCGGGTCAAATCGCTACATCGGTACAGCAATTTTTCCAGCAGGACCTTGCCCATGAACCCTGAGGCGCCTGTCACGAAAATTATTTTCCCACTGTAAAACTTTTGTATTGGACTTAGCTCCATCTTTTCCTCCATCTTGTCGGCCTGAAATATATTAGAACACGCTATTTTGTTATATAATTATTTATAGATCGTCTATAATATCCGTATAAATAATTTAAATAAAAAAATTTAAACAACAAAAATTATACGCAAATATTAACGAGCACCGAATATATAATCTTCTTACAAAATCAGTAAAAGTTCAAGTAGGTTATGTTTGTTTGCAGACTCTGACTATTATATACTCCTAACGTAACCACTCACCGTGTCTGATCACAACAACAGGTAAAAAAAAAATGAAAAATTTCCGACCCATTAAATAAGCTTAATTGTTAAATTAAAGAGAAAAATTTCAACACATATTAAATATATCATATAGTATTACATTTTATTTATTATTAAAGTTCCAAGTAAAATTCCAGACATATTATTTCTATACGGACTATTAGATTGTGTCTAATCGATTTAATCGGCGGTTCTTATTTGCGACTTGCGAGAGTAATTCGGCTTAATACCTTTAATATAAATTATCTATATATATATATATAAATTAACTGTTACAGTGTTACACAAGTTGTCAGGAAGTTGCAGAAAGAGAAATGCACTGAGATTATTGACCGCGGCAAAGTATATCTTAAAAAAAGGATAAATCGTTTTTAAATAAATCGTATGGTGATTGATTATATTTTCATTTTTAATGCTAGTAAGTTATTTAATACGGTTACACATTTTAAATTATAAATTATAATTTTAACAGAGAGGAAGTAGATGTGCGGCTGCAGTCGCGGCTTTTCTAAAACTGACGCATTTAAAACGTATAGAGAAGAATAATATAGCTATGAATTATATTTGAATTACCGTAATGCGATGATCGTAAGGACACATATATGTACGAATCATAGATATATATATGATAATATGTGTGATGTGATGGTTGCGTGTGAGAGCAGTAATATAAGGAATAGAAGTTCAACAAGTTCTAAACTGATTAGTTTCCTGCGGTCTTTTTGACGTTTTTTATCTTGAGTTATCAAGGATTATTAAGAGCAGGTTATATCTAATATATGGTAAGTTATATATTTTTTGATTCAGAAGTTATTTACTGTAACTGTCACGGGATTTTTTACAGTAATCAAATTATAATTTATTCATTAGGATTTAAATTTAAACGTAAAAGTCTCAAATTTATAATTTTGTTCATTGGTGTTTTAGCAGCGAAAGATTATTTGATAAAAGTTTCGGTTTAAGAATATCAATTCAAGGTTTTTAATGGCCGTCACATTCTAAACTTTTAATTTACGGAGTAACTAATGAAATTAATGGTCTATGATTTAGATTTTTACTTGGTTAAAAGTATTTCATTCATCTTATTATTATTATTATTATTATTATTATTATTATTAAGATAAATTAATAAAATAAAAAAAAGGCCAATTATACCCGTAAATATTAATTCATTAACAAATTCTTGCGTTATAATTATCTCTCCGTATATAATCCAGTTTCTCCATCCAGAACTTTTTAATTTAATAAATCCCCCATAACATACATGTTATTTATTACACAACAATTTATGTAAAACAATTTAATTTTCTAGAAATTAATTTTAATTACATAATATTCAAATTTTTTGATTTTATCATTCTCTTGATCTTACAAAAATTTAATATTGTCTTTATCTTATTCTGTAAAACATTAATTTATTCAAGTAACATTTTATTTTATAAGGCTATTAATTTTTTTTATATATAAATTTAAAAGAAACTGCAATTAAAAACTAATTATTTATACATCTGTGCCAATTTTATGCTAAAGGTTAATGGCCAGCTGTTAAAATATTTTATTATAAAATCACTATAGTTACGTTATTTTAATATATTAATGAATAAATATTTTAACATTTAATTAAATGTAAAAAATTATCAACTTAAAATATTAGTTTAACACTTATTAACATTATTATCAGTATTTTTTAAATTATTTTTCATTAATTCAAAGTTATTGTTGCAGATGATATTGATAATAATGCGATGGACAACGTTTTGATCGCACAGATTTACGTTGAGGATTTGAATATATATATATATATATATTAAATAAAAAAAACAAATTAACATAGTAGATTTATTATACTAAATAGGAAGAGTTTTAAAAGGACAATATAACTTTATTTTTGATTAGGTATAAAAGAAGAAATAAGCAAAGTAGTTTTATTCTACTTGATGAAAAAATTTTTCAAACAAGATTATCTATAATAGACGATCCGTAGTTTAATTTTAACAAAATGATTAAAAACACAATATAAAAATGTCTGACTTACCAAAATTGGAGTTAAAAAAAAAAATGAAAAATGGAGCAAGTAGTCACCAGTAGTTAGTGGATCAGGCAAAGTGTTGAAGTTTAAAAACAAACTAAGTTAAAGTTACCTAGAAGTACAATCTCTTGCTCCCACCTCGAAACAGAGTTATGATCGAAAAGTGGACACTACTACGGGCAGTCTCAGCAACTCAATTCCCTCTATACAATCTACAATATTCCAGGTAAGTAGTTTATCTCCCTCATCTCTATGTAAGCAACATTAAAGCGCAACAGGGCATCTCTCTTCTATGTACCCATTCACTTGATCCTCATTTCACATATCTTATGTGTACTATCTTGCTAAATATCTTCTTTAATATATATATATATATATATATCTATATATCTTCTTAACTAGCCACACTGAACTTTACGCAATATTTACGCTTTTTATAATAACCCTGATAAATCATTGGCTAAATTATTGTTATTCGTGGCATTAATGGCATTAATGGAAAGAGGGTATTTATTCTGGACTTTGTTATAAGACAATTTTAAAGTTTTTTTTTTTTTTTTTTTTTTTTTTTTTTTTTTTTTTTTTAATAAAAATTCATGACATATTCTCGGAAATAATTAATTAGCTTATTTCTTTTTCTTCTTTTTTTTACTCTAGTAAATTTGTAAAAATAAAAAAAAATTATAGTCACACAATTGCGCAGTAAAATTTTATCATAGCCAATTGTTTACAAAAAATAGGAAAAAAATTAAAAAAACTTTTATTAGTATTAAAAGCTAAGAAAAAAAATTTCTCTGAAAAAAGATAATAAAATTAATAATTACATCTTGTGTAAATTGTAATGACTTTTATATTACCTTAATTATTATTAATCTGTTCATACGTAATCAAATCCCGTGTATTAATTCAAGTGTATAGACAATTATGTAAGCCTTATATTAATACTACAGCGTATTTATTATTGTTAACACTTGAATAGGAAAAAAAAAAAAACGTTTAAGAGTGTTTAATTATTATAATTACACTCATTGTTTATTTATAATAATAATAATAATAATAATAATTATAATAATAGCCTTCGACTAGCGTCAATAAACCGAAGAAACTAGTTTGAAGAAGAAAAAAAAAAAATTAAAAAATACTTAAATTTGGTCAGACACTTTTGTGTGGAGATAACTTGGCAAATTTGCTCAATTTAAATAAAATGTAATAGCAATGTTTGAATATTTGAATAAGATATTTTAGTGTGTAAATAAAAAATCTACGAGTAAAAGTATATGTGTTGATGAAAAAAATTTAAGTTTCACTTTTCTCAGTAAAGGGGCAGTGTTGCAATATCACGTATATCTATATATTAAATATATATAAGCTATATACTACTGATATTTCGCCAAGGATAATCAATTAATTCCGAGATTAAATTGGGTAATAACTAGCTAAGTTATTGTAAGCGTTTTATATTTTATTTTTATTGTTATTTTATTCATAAATTAATAGTAAATATTTTATTTTTATTTATTTTGCATGTATGAGTATAGTATTAATTTGGCAATCAATTTATAATTCAACAATTATTATTAGAAATTGTTAATTAATTAAAATCTTCCACTTTTTTTTTCTTAAAAATTTAGTATAATAATTGTTTTATTATCTTATATATTATTTATTTATTAACGATATCGCAGTTGGTTCATAAAATGACTTATTTCAGGTGTTTTATTATAAATTATCAATAAATGTAAATATTATCCGGAACTTAATTTTCAGCAATGATAATAATTTGAACAAATCCTGTTATTTTTGTTTTTAATTTTAAACAAGAAAATTAAAAAATAATTGTCGAGTTAAAAAAAATCTTTAACAAAAACACATTTGGCAAAAATAAATCTTTCCATTCAGATTTAAATATAATATTATTTTTAACGATAAGATCGCAACTGAATAATATTTATATACGCTTACATTAATATTAATCAACTCATCAAAGCTTATTCATTCGTAAATTATTCAAAAGTAATTTAATTAATCACGCGATCCGTGATATTGAATGGTTCTTTTTTTTTTTTAAGGAAAGTCTTGTTAAATTACTCTTAATGTAAACAACTTTTATTATATAATAAATAAGTAATGCAATAACTCTGTAATTTTCCAAAATTTTGTTTTTTAATTTTATTACTTATCAGATATTATTTATTATTATTATTATTATAATATATTTTACAAATATAATTATTGTTTACAGTAAAAATTTAGTTTTTTAATCGCAATTTAAAATAATATAAGGTCAAAAATTGACTACTTATTTTTTATAGTTATAAATTTATCAAAAATTAACTTAAAAATTTTTAAATACTAAAAAACTCACATGCGCGTAGGCATGCGCGGTAGATTGTTCCCCTACTTTTATTCTAATCTCATTATTATCATCAAACATATGATGACAGTTCAGAGCACCTGCAAAAATGTTTATATTAAATTAAAACAAGTTATTTTACTTTTACATCATTAAATACCAACAATTATATATTAATTATCAGAAATAATGTATCAAAATAAAAACAACAACAACAATAATGTAAATGATAAAATGATTGGAGAACTTGCTAAAGATTATTCGGCTTACATGAAAGTTGATTTACCAAATCAGGTAATAAAATTTGTTTTTAACTTTCAATTTATTACTTTTTTTTTTTTTCGTGAAATCAATAATTACAATACTATTATTTTATTATTTAAGACATTGAAAATTCATGAATCTATTGAAGAAATGATGATACGGCTTGAAGAATTTGAATCAATTGTTGGAATGGTAAATAATTTTTTTTTTTTTTTTTTTCCATAAAAAGCCTAGTAATAATTATAATATTAATAAAGGTACAAAATTTGCGAGCCGAGTGTACTTTTGAGCATTTAGTGAGATTCCGGTCGGTAAATCCCCAATTAATGGAATTGTGCAAGCGAATTGATGCACTGGAGCATGTTGTCGCACGTGCTAATATCGACTTGACGAATTTAGAAGCGGCTGTTGACACGGCTGAGGTTGAATTAGGTGTCAGCACAACAGTGTCTGACCGGTTGCTTGGCATTTTTAATCCACTTTCACTATTTGTAAGTATTTCCATCAATTATTACATCAGTGAATGCATTCCCAGAAGAAAAAAAAAAAAAAAAGTAGNATTAAACTTTTTTTTTTTTTTTTTGTTTTTTTTTTTTTTTTATTTATATATATTATTGCAGAAATCCAAGAGCGAAACTCTGGGAACGACACTTGGAGCAACGTCTAGAATTGAACCGAGCATTGAGTTGCCTCCAATTTTCCGAACCAAAGACGCTTTTCAAACTTGAATTAGTTAATAATAAATAATTGAATTATATTTACCAAGTATTAAATAAATTTAATAAATTAATTGTTACACAATCTGTATTGACACTTTTTTATTTGAGCTTCTTTTTCTCCCATAGAACACCCGTCAGAAATGCAGTGTCTCCACCTTGTCATTTTACCTGGACCGCATGTTTTGGTGCAGCATGACCACTTGCCCCAATTGTCCCAAACTTTAGCATTACTTTCTATATATAAAAAATTAACTTGTAAAAATGTTGATTTTGTAAAAAATTTAACATAAAAATTACTTTGAGTTTCGCACGCAGCCAAAGTACAAGTTTTTAATTGCGATTGTTTTTCATCCAACCCACAATCTCCAACTAAACAATATCTCGTACGTTTTATATGTCCGATTCCACAAGTAACGCTGCATCCCGACCACTCGCTCCAAAATGACCATACTTTTGGCTCATCTACAAATGCCAAATTATTTTTTTTATATCATCCATATATTTAACAGCAATACAACAAAACACAATATATATTATTACTTGAATTTGATTCTTTATTATTCACATGATTAAATATCACAATCAATAAAAATACTTTTAACATTTTTATACAGTACTAACCTTAGATGTAATAATATTTGTTGCGATATTCAGGCTTTTCAATTAGATACAAGTAATATATATATATATATATATATATTTTTTTTGTTTTATTTATAAAAAATATTAACATAAGCTAATTAGACGATTTTTATTTTTTAAGTGAATATATAAATAATTAATTATTAAAGTCTTAAAAATGTTTTCCTTGAGCGGCCAATCGGGATTTGTCCTTGTAATCTTAATCGGCGAACTGCTTCGCGTAAATGTTTTGGTTGAACTGGACCACTGTCGTTGTATTCTTCCATCACGTCTAAGGCTAAAAATAAATAATTAAATAAATAAATAAATAAATAATCAATAAATTAAAGAGAATTAAATATACCTTTTTCAACAATTTCTCCAACAAAAACTTTGGCAATACCAGACATTGCAATGACAACATTTTGTGATACTGAACATCCTGTTATTGTTTGCATTATCTGTTCAAACGAAAATTTATTAATTATACTTAAAGAATTCACACTAATTGTAAATAATTAATAAAAATAAAAGTACCCTTTTAATGGCAGCTTTCGGAAAAGCAGCTCTTCGAAACATTTCATAACGATCTAGTTGATCTTCAGTGAAATTTGAAACTAGAACCCTTAAAATAAATTTATTATTAATGCAAATCATCGAAGTTATTTAATAAATAATAAAATAAAAAATACTCACTGCATTTTTTCACGCTCCTCTTCCTCCAACTCTCGCTTATTTTTATCTTTGCTCTCCCGGCGATCTTTAATTTCCATAGGCCGTGCTTGAGGCGGTGGCAAACATATCGCTTGCGAAAACAAATCATCATCTTTATTGCTGATGTTCATTATATCTTCGTCATCATTATTATTATTAGTAGTAATTGTGTTTGCATTTGTACTTGAACTTGAATTTATATGATCCAAATTAATAATTTCATTTTTATCACCAGAGTTTATTTCCAGAGAATTAATGATGGGATTTAAATTACTGTCAGTTCCTTTTGATAATAATGATTTGTCCACTTCAGGCTAAAAAATTATAATTAATTAATTAATTACAATTTTTTTTTTTTTTTTAATTTTAATTAAAATTAAAATTAAAATAATTACCTTTATGTCATGTTCTTCTATTTCAATAAAATCATCCAACTTGTCATCATTACTTAAATAATTACTTTTTTTAACAGCATCACTGTCATGAAAAGAATCATCTTTTCCAAATAAATCATCCATTGTCAATCTTTAATAAATAAATTATTAAAAATAAATAAAAATTCCAACCTCAAATCCAATAATCCTAACTCGGAGTAATCAAATTTAATTGTGATTGCGCTTTTTCTCTTATAACACTTTTCAACTAAATAGACTACAGTGTGAAGTGAATAGCACCGAGTATACACTTTAGTATATTTTAGTCCTTTTGGAATATAAAATCTCAATAAAAAATTTCTTTAGCTGTCTCTTTCGCTCCCACAGCTGATTAAACGAAAAATAGAGACAAAAAAAACAAAACTCTGTCAAGATTTAACAATTCCACTGTAAAATAGTAAAACTAATGATTTACACCAATAAAAGTGCGCTTACGTAGCCGTAGAACTAACCAATTGGCTCTCGCCAGCTGTAGTAACAAATTTTGACAGAAATCAACGTGGTATAAAGCCGATGGTTTTTATAAATACTATTTACATTTACAATAATTAATAGATCTTTCCATAAGCACACAGGATATTTTCCACCATTATTAACTTGTGTACTTATATATTTTTTATATAGATCATTTCTGTTTTTTATTTCAATCAGGTGGGGGTGGTAGTGTCATTTGTATTAACCTAGACATTTTTTTTTAATTTTTTTTTTTTATTTTTTTTTCCTTTTGGAGTAGGAAAAATTTTGTTTGATTTTTCAATTAACTCGCTCTTATTGATTACAGGTGATTATTATTATTATTATTAATAAATATTCAAGACTAAAATGGGGCAATTGACTTTGTTATCTGTGTTTTTGTTACTGGGATTAAGTTTACCTGCTTTTGCATTGAAAGAAGGAGAATGTGAAGGTAATTATTTTTTTTACTATTATAAAAAAAAAAAAAAAAAATCTATTAATTTTTTTTTCTATTACAGTGTGTGTGAAAACAATAGATAGATTTTCTGACACGCTAACAGAGGATGTGAGAAAGGATTCGAAAAAAATAGAATCAGAGTTTAAGAAATTCTGTAAAAATTCCAAAGGCAAAGAAAATCGTCTCGTAAGTTTTTAATTTAATTATTTAATTATTTAAAAATTCTTTATTATTAATTTAAGTTATTTTTAGTGCTACTATTTGGGTGGATTAGAAGATTCAGCCACGGGAATTCTTGTTGAATTGAGCAAACCACTTACATACTCACTGCCATCAGATAAAATTTGTGAGAGATTACGTAAAAAAGATGCTCAAGTTTGTGATCTCAGATTTGGTATGTTATTTATTATTTAATTTTATTCAAGTCCAATTTATTGTTAAATAATTATTTAAAATTGCAGAAAAACAAATCGATCTTGACAAGGTTGACCTGAAGAAATTGAAAGTACGCGACCTGAAGAAAATATTGAATGATTGGGATGAAAATTGCGATGGATGCATTGAGAAAACAGACTACATTAAACGTATCGAGGAACTTAAACCCAAGTACACTTCTAGTACAAAGAAAACTGAACTCTAAATTAATATTTTTTATTTATCTTTTTGGATTAGTTTATTAAATATAACATCAGATACATATTTTTATGTTTAAATTATTTTATTAAAATTTAGGGAAATATGATAAAACTATCACAAACAAATAAAAGCCAGTTATATTTATTTTACTCTATCAAACTTTTTAATTGTTATTTATCAATGATAATTAATAATATACAAACGCAAAACACAACAATGACTGTTAATTAATAATTATCAAATCTCCATATGTATTATGAGTAAACGGTAAAATAAAAATATTTGTAATAAAACATTTTTTTATTATTATTAATATAAAATTTAATGAATGAAAAAAATAATGCACATATTTATAAATGTAAAGCATTATATCCTGAATCAACTGTGGAGAGTTAACGCAAAACGCAAGAGAGAACCAGAGGAAGAGACCAAGATAGAAAATATATGATAGAACACAGATGTTCTTTGTACACTTTGTACTGTTTAATGTTTTTCTTTATAAATATTATTTTTATCCTCAGTTAACTTGCAAGCTTCCCTTAAAATGCGCGTAAAAATGTCTTCAACTTTAATTCCAATTTTGATATTGATATTTATCCCATCATTTATTACAACGGGGTTCAATTACAGTAGTGAGTACAGTGATACAGATAAGTGTCCCAAGGCAGAGTTTATAGCCGGTCAACTTGGCGTGGTAAATGTCCTCGGATTTTTAGATCCAACTCAGCCATCGAGTTATCGACAAGCAGTCATGTAAAAAACAAGTTGTTATTATATTTATAGATTATAGATTAATAATTTTAAATAACATAAAAATTCTCCTCTGTTTTAGGCTAAAAGTATTAAAAGACCGGCTTAAACGTTCTGGACTCCCCGAAGCACTTTTTTTTGTGATTATCAACAGTAGAGTGAGTGAAGATGAAGAAAACCATTCAATTAGTTCTTTTAAAAGTGCGATAGCTCCAGACATTTTTATAATTGAAGACAACGAACAATTGAATATTCGTAAAAACTTTAACGGCTCGAAAGATCAAGTTTTGGTGATAGACCGGTGTGGGTACTTGGCCTATCAAATTGTACTCCCCTGGAGCATTCTCCATTTTCCTTACGTCAAAGCCGCCATCTTGTCGACGCACAAAGACGATCCTTGTGGGCCTTGCGATACTTATGCGACTGATGTAGTCGAGTTGGATGAGATTGAAACTTGTACTTTAACTTATTCTATTCCAGCTACCTCAGAAGTGACTGAGGCAACTGGAGCATATGTGACTTATTCTGAAGAAAAGGTTTTACCAGACTTGAAGATAATTATGCACGCGCCTCATTATCACATGAGTGGAGACGCGACTAAAAAACACGAGTACCTAGTTCTGGAGCACTCCAAGCCGGATTTTCATGGACACTTGGATGTTCCAGACTCATCAACGGATGAAAGAAGTGGTAAATTAGGAGATGGATTGATTATTTCTGACAGCACTGTTTATGAGCGCGATCAAGGTCCAGGTTTTTTTGGAGAAGTTGCTGATATTTGGAGAAATTCGGTGAATTTTGATCAGCAAGTCGATGAGGATGAAGAAGATGAAGAAGATGAAGAAGAGTTGAGTGAAAAGTTGCAAATTAGTCAGTCTACTGAGGCCAATGGTCAAGATGTCAATGATAATGAAGAAGAAATAAAGAGTAAGTTAATCGCGCATTACAGTAAATTGGTGCCCTGGATTTATTATATTCTTGAAAAATAAAGTATTTAGTTTCTAATTTTTATATAAATATTTTTAGTTATTCTTACGAACGTTGGCGCGTGACGATCATCGCGCTTTAATATTCGAAAAACTAAATATAAAAATTAATATTTCTTCTTAGGTAGATATATCTATAAATCAATATATATATATATTATTTAATAAATAAATTAATTGTCTTTGGAAACTGATATTATTTTTTTGCGCAAAAGCACACTTTATTATTAATACCTGGTATATATATATATTCATACAAATTGTCCTCTGAATATTTTATGATCAAATATCTGAAATAAAATGAAACCATATTTAATAACATTTCAAGAAATTGAATAAAAATAGTAAAACCCTTATCACACAGTATTAAACATGAACATCAAAGAAAGCAATGAACTCTGGACAGAAGAATCTATAAACGCATTAGGATTGTACAGAGTAATAACTAAAATAATTTGCTCATGCGGCCTCTTGAGCCTCACAATATTTATTGGAAAATCCGAATAACTTTTTTGCTTTTATTTTTGGTAATTTATTTATTATTTTTAAATAAAAAAATAATTTATTAAACACTAAAAGTAAATGAAAATAATACCTACTTGATAATTATATCTTGTTATTAAAACTTATTAAAGATTACATCAGGTTTTATTTTAAGTGAAGAAGAATTAGTCGATCATTGTGGCCCTACAGGAGAAATTGTTTTCATATATTTGGATTTTTTATAACCACAGTATCCTCTATCTTTAAAATAATACTGCTGAATGTTTACCATTTACCATGACAATATGTTTTTGATAATTACGAATATTATGAGCGACTGGTGGAAGGCAAAAAGTAGCAATTTTACTGTTTTGATCCGAACGACACCATCAGCCAGCTCTTAATGCTGGAGTTATATGCAGATACTTCGGTAATTATTTACATTATTGAATGCTGCATCTACAATATTGCCAGCGGTGGAATTGATTTTTATTTTTTGGTGATAGTAATGCACATTTGTGGGCAAGTTGAAATACTAGCCTCAAGTTTTCGACAATTAATTAATAACAAGAAGAATCCAAAATTAGATAGAAAAAAATTTATAATTATTATTGAACGAAAAAAATACTTGTTGAATTTAATAGATTGTCTTCAGAGAATATCTTTTGAGTTTTTGATACTTGTTGTATCGTTGGCGTCTACTATTCAATTGAATGTTGTTGGTAATTATAATAATAATAATAATAATAATTGTTATTTTTTATCAAGTATATTAATTAAATATTGATCAATTTTTTTTTTCTCAAGTTTATACAGCCCTTTTTTATATGAAAAAAAAAAAAAACAATATAAAGGCAGCCATTCAGGTGTCAAAAGTGGATCATTTTTCTACGTTTTTGCAGAATTATATATTTATTGTTTCATCGGTGACAAACTGTCTTCACACATTGACAATTTGTATTTATCTATTTACGAATGCTGTTGGCACAATTTTCCTCCACGGATACACTTAATAAGACCTAAGTTTAAAGTTTAAATTAACAGCTGGTAAAATTTACGTTTTATGAATTTAGTGAATTTTAAAAATATTATAATTGTTAAAACAATGGGTTCTTTTTTTTCGGTTATGCGATTGAAAGTTTATCAATAAAATGATACTTATCATTTTAAAATCAAATTATAAACTAGATTGTAGTTTTAAAACAAGTTTTCATCCATAAAATAATAAATAAATATAAATACAATAAAAAAAACTTATACCTAATTTTCTTATTTAGTAAAATCATCATATTTAAGTTCAAGCTTACCAAATCCATCTACGACTACACTATTGACAAAAAGTACTTCTGGAAAATTCTGATCAATATCAATCCTTATGTTATCATTTTTCTTCTCTTCTTTCAAAACAGACCATCCGCAGCAGCTTCTAATTCCACGAGATCAAGTCCCAGATCTTTTTTCTTGATCTCCAGGGCTTCTAGCTTCTCAACCAGCGAGTCCTAGAACATTCTCAGGCGCCTGTTGGAGCCAGTCGCACAGTCGCTTCATCACTATTGTGTCCTTGAAAAATCATGTACTTTGTTACATTAACAAAGAGTCTATGTTAGTTTCTAATTTTTATATAAATATTTTTAGTTATAAAATAAACCCTTAGGATTAATATACAAAAGATTTGTGCGCAATAGTTTATAAACTTAAATAGGGTGTATATAATAAAATAAGGTATTCTTACGAACGTTGCGTGACGATCATCGAATCGCGCTTTAATATTCAACAAAAAACTAAATATAAAACTCAGCATTTCTTCTTAGGTAGATATACCTATAAATCGATATATATATATATATTTAAGTAAATTGTCTTTGGAAATAAACTGATATTATTTTTTTTGCGCAAAAGCACACTTTAATATTAATACCTGGTATATTCATGCAAATTGTCCTCTGAATATTTTATGACCGGAGATCTGAAATAAAATGAAACATATTTAATAATATTTCAAGAAATTGAATAAAAATAGTAAAACCCTTATCACACAGTATTAAACATGAACATCAAAGAAAGCAATGAACTCTGGACAGAAGAATCTATAAACGCATTAGGATTGTACAGAGTAATAACTAAAATAATTTGCTCATGCGGCCTCTTGAGCCTCACAATATTTATTGGAAAATCCGAATAACTTTTTTGCTTTTATTTTTGGTAATATTGTAATTTATTAAATAGTAAAATAAATGAAAATACTTACTTGATAATTATATTTTGTTATTAAAACTTAAAGATTACATCAGGTTTTATTTTAAGTGAAGAATTAATCGATCACTGTGGTCCTACAGGAGACATTGTTTTCATCTTTGGACTCTTTATAAGCACAGTATCCGCTACTTCTAAAATAATACTCCTGAACGTCTACCATGACAATATGTTTTTAATAATTACGAATATTATGAACGACTGGCAGAAGGCAAAAAATAGCAATTACCAGAAAACAATAATGCTCAAGTACTCATCGCTTAATCGCGTATTATTTTACATGGTTCTGACACCTTTGATGTTTTACATAATTAAAATATCAAGCGAAAGGATTCCTTACACAACTATCATCGACAATGTTACTGTTCTGATCCGAACTACACCTGTCAGCTCGGAATGCTGGAGCTATGCAGATACTCCGTTAATTATTTACATTATCAGATTTATTTGTCGCATTGTTGAATGCTGCATTTACAATATTGCCAGCGGTGGAGTTTTTAAAATGGATCTTTATTTTTTGGTGATAGTAATGCACATTTGTGGGCAAGTTGAAATACTAGCCTCAAGTTTTCGACAATTAATTAATAACAAGAAGAATCCAAAATTAGATAGAAAAAAATTTATAATTATTATTGAACGAAAAAAATACTTGTTGAATTTAATAGATTGTCTTCAGAGATCTTTTGAGTTTTTGATATTTGTTGTATTGTTGGCGTCTACTATTCAATTAAACGTTATAGGTAAATTATAATTAATATTTTTTAATTAAATATTAATAAAATTTTTTTTTTTTCAAGCTTATACAGTTCTTTTTTATATGAAAGAAAACAATATAAAGGCAGCAATTGAGCTGACAAGTGGAACATTTTTCTACGTTTTTACAGAACTATATATTTATTGTTACATCGGTGATAAATTGTCTTCACACATTGACAACTTGTATTTATCTATTTACGAATGCTGTTGGCACAACTTTCCTCTGTATGCACTTAAAGACCTCGTTTTTATGATTATGATGAAGAATAATCGGGAGTTTAAATTAACAGCTGGTAAAATTTACATTATGAATTTAGTAAACTTTAAAAATATTGTTAAAACAATGGGTTCTTTTTTTTCTGTTATGAGATTGAAAGTTTATGAATAAAATGTTTTTTTTAATAATTTTAAATAAACTTGATTAAAGTTTCAAAAGATTTTTTAATCCATAAAGTAATAAATAAATACAGTAGAAAAATTAAACCTAACTTTCTTCCTCAGTAAGATCATCAGAATCAAGATCATCATATTTCTTCGGAAGAATTTCATCATCAGAGCTGCTGGCTTCAGTGCTGGAAAGACTCAAAGCTTCAGAGGGATCCGTGCTATCGCTATCACTGTCGCTATCAGTATCAGTGTCACTATCACTGTCACTGCTAGAGTCAGTATCAGTGTCAGACTCACTTTGGTCTTTAAGTTCAAGCTTACCAAATCCATCTACTACACTATTGACAAAGTACTCTGGGAAATTCTGATCAATATCAATCCTTATGTCATCATTTTTCTTCTCTTCTTCCAAAACAGACCATCCAGCAGCCTCGAGTTCCACGAGATCAAGCCCCAGATCTTCTTTTTTGATCTCCACGGCTTCTAGCTCCTCAACCAGCGAGTCTAGAACATTCTCAGGCGCCTGTTGAAGCCAGATGAGGTAATCGCGGATGTACAATTGATTAAGAACATACCTTGGCTCGTATGAATTGTTGAACAGATCGTATACTTCGCACAGTCGCTTCACCACAAACTTCTTCCCGAGTTTCAGCATTGCCTTGACATCCTCCAGGACCTTAATCGACAGCTCCCAGTTTCTGTAAATTGGATAGCAGAGTGATCGTCTGACCGAAGTTTTAACAACCTGATCCATCGACGAGTAGCTCTCGAACCAACACAAAGTTCCGCTGAGTTTGTTGATGTCCCAACTGCTTTCGCTGGTGTTTTCTCCGGTGGTAACTCGGTGGTTGTACGAACTAGAGAACATAATGTCTACAAGGCCGTAAAGTGCTGCTTGGATTTCTTGACTTTCAAGAAGAAATTCTTTGTTGGGAAGCTCTTTCAGAATGTCTTTTTCGTGGTCGGTAAATTCTATTTCTTCTGGCTTGAAGCTTCGCCAGGAAGGAGTAAACTCCAGGACTGCCTTCATCGTTCCCTGGGGCTGGAACAAATCAGCCGTGTAGTGATCGTCACTGAAATTGTTGAGTTCGTCAGATTCACGGAGAGAAGAACGCATTGTTGGCAGTGTTGAATCAGGTGTTGGTAAATCCACGACGTCTTTCAACCAACCTTCCTATAAAAAATTAATTTTTATTGTTAATAATATTCATAATAGGATAATTTTATAAAAATATTTACTTCAAAAGGTCCAAGAGCGTTTGAAATTTTATTTCCAAATCCATATTTTGGAGCGTTCATCAAAATGTTTATTGGTAATGATGATCCTGCTGGCTTTTGGGGCATATACCACTCATCACTTGATGAGTTCTCATCCAAACATTCATTTGCTACAGCTGGATTCCCTGATAAAGTAATAATAATAATAATAATAATAATAATAAAATTAAAAATTCTTACCAATAACTTCAATATTAGCAGTTAAATTTTCCTTCTTCTTCGAAGGTGCCAGCAAAGTCGTGATCATGTCCAGATTATCAAAGTGTTCTCCGGGAGTTACTTTCGAGAACCTGAATAAAAATTTTCCCGTGTCGCAATCGTATGACCCGAATGACTTGTCATTCTCGACAATCTCTCCAGGTAATTTCAATCTAAAGAAAAAAAATAGTAAGTTACATTTTCAATAAAATTAAACAAAGTATTTAATTGTAACAATTGATAAAACTTACCGTAAATAATAAGGCGAAGAAAAAAAACGGAAATCCGTTTTTTCAACGTAAACTTCAGTATCTTTTATGTTTGCATAAGGTGCATAGATATTAATCGTCAATTCTTTATCATCTTGAGTCAATTCAAATCTTGGAGTCAACATTTTTTTTTTAAATCTGAAATAAGTGAAAAAATAAAATTTAATTTAATTATAACACTGGAATTAGCGACTTAAAAAAAAAAAATGTTTTTTTAATTAATCACGTGTTAATTTCTAAGCCGTATTTCTCACAAAAATTCAAAACTCAGCAGTGATACTCACGTTTATATTAAATTTATATTTATAAATTAAAAATAAAATAATCAGATATTTTCTGTTATACTTGTGCTATTTTTGTAGTATATAAGATAAACAGTTGATGCTATTTATATTACAGTTATAATTGTTGATAAACTATTATAATGAGTTTCAGGTTATAAATTCTTAGATATAAACATATTTACACACACTTGTATATAGAAGCACTGATTTATTTATTATTATTATATATTCAATAGACGCCAACTGCATTTTGAGATTGCGATAGAGCGCCAGCAAACTAGAAACAGGAATGTCGGTAAATTATCAAAGAATGCACAAACTACTTAATAATAATAATAATAATAATAATAATTACACAAAAGTATCTTTTAATTTATATTAATTTTATTCAAAACTTATATCCTCTTTTTAATACTATATATTTTAATTTGTTTATTTATTTATTTATTGAATAAGTAAAATCTTTTATAGGCTTAAAAAAATATTTAATTTAAAAAAAAATAATCGAATTTTAATAACTCAACACATTATATCGCGTCATGGTTCTATTTCAGCTGATGTTGTCATTAAGCTGACAAACTTTTTAGCCAAGTCAACTAAAATCACTTTTTTTTCCGGAACATATACCCTGAAAATAAAACAAAATTTTTTATTAATTTTTTACTAAGTATTAATTAACTTAAAAAAAAAAAATGTTTACCTGTACTTGATAGATGCGGCATCAAGCATCATTTTAGAAGCAATTGTAGATGGTTTTTCGGCATGTTTGTCACAATAATAAACAATTTCTTTTAAGCCAGACTGGATAATGAGCTTAGCGCATTGATTGCACGGAAAAAGACTAACGAAGATAGTAGAACCTCTTATATCAGCACCATGTCTATTAAGAATGGCATTCAACTCAGCGTGGCAAACTAAAAACATTGAAATAAAAATTAATTAAATATAACTTGTGTTATTTGTAATTGATTACAATTAATATATTGCTTACCAAAAGTGTGCTTATTTTTCAAAGGATCATTAGGATCTTTTCCCCAAGGGAATTTATCATCGTGACAACCTTCTGGCATTCCGTTGTACCCAACGCTAACAATCCTCTTGTGTTGATCAACAATGCACGCCCCGACCTGAGTGCATGGATCCTTACTCCTTGTTCCCGCCATAAATGCAATCCCCATGAAAAGATCATCCCAACCGATTACATCGTCTCGCTTTTTAATCTCCTTTTGATCTTTGATACTAAACAGAATATTTTTATTATTAAAAATACAGATAAATTAAAAATTATTTTATTGCAAAGTTAGGTTAAGTTTTTTCCCGCAATAAGTTGATTTAGTGACTAAAGTAAATATAAATATATCTATTAAAATAAATACGACAAATGCTAAAATATGAACTTACTTCATCACTTCTTTGTTGTCAGTCATATTGCAATAAATAATTAAGTCTTACTAAAAATAATATCACAAGCAAAAAAAATGTCATCCGATGTCGGCTACAGTGAATTGATGAATTAATGAATAATGAGAATTAACCAATTAGCATAACACAACAAATAAATATTTTCCGATAGGTTGTATTGTGTCGCTGTTGATGCATTACGCGGCAAAATTGCAATGATTTTAAATATTTTATTTGATTTATAATAAAATTATAAATTAAAATATTTTTTATTATTTAAAAATAAAAATTTTAATTTTTCTTTAATTTAATCTGATAAATTAGTTTCTATAATTAAATTTAAATTGATAATTAATAATAAATTTAAATAAATCCCGTGCAATTATAGTTCATATTCAGTCCACAAGAGGCAGCACGATTAATTTAGTTACATAACGCTGGACATGACTAGTATTTATATACACATATAAAATCTCACATGTGCTCACATATCGCAGACCAAAAATATATAACCTATACCAATATTTCAAAAACACGTGGTGCCGGAAAAAAATATTTATATTTAATAAATTTAAATACAGTGAATGTGAATAAAAAATAAAAGTTTATTAATAATAATTTGTTGATCAAATAAATCAAGATGAATCGAATCAAGTCACAAATTTCACCAAAACACTTGGATCCAAGTGCTTTAACACTTTCCATGTACACCACTGAGGAAATTAAAAAGATGAGTGAACTAAAAATTGTCACGCCGTTGACTTTCAATATCCTAGGACATTCAATAACTGGAGGAGTATATGATTCAAGATTAGGTAATTTTTTTTTTTTGGTCATAATTTATTTATTAAAAAAATTTTTTTTATTAAAATAAAAAATTTAAAAAAATTACACCTGCAATTTATTTAAAAATATTTTTTTTAGTTCTAATTTAATTAATAGAGAAATAATAAAAAATTGTTGTACGTCGGCTAATTTTAGTATCATAATATTTTTATCAATTTTTACAATTTGTCAATATTATTTTTTTAATTTTTTATGTTGAAAATAAAATTGAGAATCCTAAACAATTATTTATTTTTAAATAACAATTCTAATATAAAATTTAAATTTCCAGGACCAATATCTTTCGAGTCAGAGCCCTGTGGGACTTGCTCATACACCTTCACGCAATGCGAGGGGCATTTTGGTCACATCGAACTACCAGTACCCGTAATTAACCCCCTTTTTTACGCGACAATATCTTCCCTGCTACGAATATCTTGTTCACTATGTCACACTCTTCAAATGTCAAGTCTTGACAAACTGGTACTGGAAGGCCGACACCGTATGATTTGCATGGGATTCTACAGCGAGCTCGAAGAACTAGAGCAAGAATTAAAATTCCTAATTGACGAAAAGAAAACCAATGGAGTGTTATCTCTCGGTGAAATCGTAGCCTTGCGTGAAGTGATGGACAGATTCATCGAAAACCGGCGGCCTAAATCTTCCTCCAGTGATCAGGGTCCAACTGTCTTTTCAAAAAACATAAACTTGCAGTGGATTCGGTACATCGACGGTGCCCTGAAATTAGCCAAAGACAATCTGCAAAAAAAATCACACGGCGAAAGTGGTAAGATGTGCCTTTATTGCACCAGAAAGCTGCCCAAGATCAAGGTCACCAAGAATAAATTTATTATGCAGATTCTCAGCGAAGATACAGGAGTCACAAATTATGTCAATGCTCCAGTTACTCCTGACAAGTGCAGAGAGCTTTTACGCAATCTTTGGAAACAAGAAGAAGTAATTTTACGGGCTTTGATTCCAGTGTTATCAACAGTAAAAACCACATTCCCCACTGATATATTTTTCCTGGAAGTTGTAAGCGTTATTCCTCCCAGAGCGCGTCCCATAAACAAATTAAAAAATCAGATAATTGAGCACCCTCAAAATCAAGCTTATAAATCTATTCTGTCTGATTGTTTGGTGATAAAGAACATCATCAAGGTGGTCCAAGATGGGGATACAAGGAATCTTCCCCAAGAAGGTGTTCAAGTATACAAAGACGTCCGTGGTACATCTGCTATTGAGAAGCTGCACAACGCCTGGCAGATTTTGCAAGCCAATGTTGATCATCTAATGGACCGAGATATGACTAAAACAAATGATTCTGCAAACTGTGAAGGTTTCAAACAGATTATTGAAAAGAAAGCAGGAGTAATTCGTATGCACATGATGGGAAAGCGTGTAAATTTTGCAGCTCGGTCGGTCATTACACCAGATCCTAATATTAATATTGACGAGATAGGAATTCCCGAAGTATTTGCTAGAAAACTCTCCTACCCAGTGGCGGTAACCCCGTGGAATGTCACCGAGTTAAGACAGATGGTAATCAACGGACCAGATGTCCATCCAGGAGCAATGCTGATCGAAGGCGGAAATGGATGGATCCAACGGCTTAGTGCTACTGATCCTATCCAGAGAAAAGCTATTGCCAAACGGCTGCTGTCCTCCAACAAGGATGATGATTTGGTTAACTCGATAAAGATTGTCCACCGACACTTGCAAAACGGTGACATTATGCTGCTGAACCGACAGCCGACTTTGCACAAGCCCAGTATTATGGCTCACAAAGCGAGAATCTTAAAAGGTGAACAAACTTTGAGATTACATTACTCTAATTGCAAGGCTTACAACGCGGATTTTGACGGTGATGAAATGAACGCTCATTTACCGCAAAATGAGGTTGGACGGAGTGAAGGGTATAATTTAGCAGGGGTTTCTCATCAGTATTTGGTACCAAAGGATGGCACGCCCTTGGGAGGGTTAATCCAGGACCACGTTATTGGTGGAGTGCGTTTAACTTTAAGAGGAACTTTTTTGATCAAGAATGACTACTTGAATTTGGTGTATTCCGCGTTGTCTGACTCGGTGGGCAAAGTAAAGCTGCTACCACCGACGATACTAAAACCTGTTTATTTGTGGACGGGAAAGCAGGTCGTGTCTACGGTTATTATAAATTTAATTCCTCAAGGTAAAGCGCTGATTAATCTTAATTCAAAGAATAAAATCAGTCCCCAAGCTTGGATAAATCAACCACCCAGAGCGTGGAAGTGCGGAGAACAATTCAAAGATGAGAAGACTATGAGCGAAGCTGAAGTTATCTTAAGAGGCGGTGAATTACTTTGTGGGATAATTGAAAAAACTCACTATGGAGCTACGCCTTACGGTCTTATCCACTGCGTCTATGAACTTTACGGTGGTGAATGCTCTATCAGAATGCTCAGCTCCTTTGGAAGACTCTTCCAATACTTTTTGACTCTCAAGGGATTTACTTTGGGGGTTAAGGACATTCTGGTTGTTAGCTCTGGGGACAAAAAGCGGGAAAAAGCCAAGTTGGAGGGTCGGTTGGTGGGCCAGCAGGTTCAAAAAGAGGTGCTCGAGCTTCCAGAAGAAATTCCTTATGAAGAAATCAAACATAAGATGGACATTTCATATATTACAAATCCTAAATTCCGCGCGCAAGTCGATCACAAGTACAAAATTGCGCTCCACCCGGTCACAGATAGGATCAATTCGGTGACCTTGAAGAATGGCCTGCTGAAGAAGTTTCCTGGGAATAATCTGCAGTTTATGGTTCAAACTGGAGCTAAAGGTTCTGATGTAAACCGTCTGCAGATCTCGGGGCTATGTGGGCAAATTGAATTGGAAGGTAAGCGTCCTCCGTTGAACGTAAATGGTCAAGGGCTTCCTTGTTTTAAAGAATACGACCCTTCGCCCAGGGCTGGAGGATACGTCGATGCAAGATTCATGACCGGAATCCAGCCGCCAGAGTTCTTTTTCCACTGTATGGCTGGACGAGAAGGTTTGATTGATACTGCTGTAAAGACCAGTCGGTCTGGTTATCTTCAGAGATGTTTGATCAAACACCTCGAAGGTCTGGCTGTCCATTACGACGGCACAATAAGAGACTCTGATGGTAGTTTAATACAATTTTTGTATGGAGAAGATGGTGAAGATATTTTAAAGTGTCAGTTTTTGAATTCAAGCCAGATGGACTTTTTGGTGGATAATAAGAATGCAATTCTTGATAAGAAACTGGTGGTCCAGCTGAAGGATGATAATGAGTATTCCCATATAATGAAGAGGGTGAAGAAAATTCGAAAATGGAGGACTAAGAATGGCAGTGAGATAAAACGCGAGCGTACGTCTCCTTTTGCAAGATTTTCAGCAGATAATATTGAGTCTGTGAGTAAAAAGAACAAAATAGATCCTGCTAGTGGACGGAGCAAGGTCACGTTGGCTTTGATTAAAAAATGGCAGCAGTGTGATGAAAAAGAAAAAAATAAATATGAGAAACAGTGTGTCAGATGTCCTGAGCCGATTATTGCTGAGAAAAGACAGGATTTGGACTATGGAGTGCTGTCAGAAAGGCTCGAAAGTCTCATTGATGATTACAAAAAGTCTAAAAATAGTAAAAAGATAAGCTATGAGGATCTCCGTGATATGATGTGTCTGAAGCTGATGAAAACGTTGTGTCCTGCGGGAGAACCGGTTGGTCTTTTAGCAGCGCAGTCTATTGGAGAACCTTCAACTCAGGTTAGTAGCATAAAATTAATTAAAAATTTTCTATTTTCTATCAATTTGTAGTATTTATCACAAATTTGATGTAGGTATATACATTAGAAATTAACTTTTTTTTTTTTTTTTAGATGACACTGAACACTTTCCATTTTGCTGGTCGGGGAGACATGAACGTCACCTTGGGTATTCCTCGGCTTAGAGAAATTCTGATGATGGCCTCCAGGAACATAAAGACTCCTAGCATGGAGATTCCGTTTTTAAAAGGTCTCAAGAATGTTGAAAAGGCTGCCAATCGTGTAAAAGCAAAGCTAACGCGATGCACCATGGCGGATATTTTGAAAGACATTCGTATTGAGCGTGAGATGGTGCTTAAACCTTCCAGGCGGTTGGAGTACAAATTTACGGTGGAATTCTTACATCGAAAGCATTATAAAAATGACTTTTGCTTGACTGCCAAGGAAGTCTTAGCGAGATCTGAAGCTTTGTTTGTCAAAGAGTTGGTCAGGCAGATTAATAAAGCAGCAAAGAAAACTGGGATTAATTTGATTGAGGACGGCGATAAGAGATCTAAGAAAAAGAAAGAGGCGTATGATGACTCGGTTCTGGATGGAAATCTTGATGATGATGATGATGATGATAATGTTAATGTCAAGCCTAAGTCTCAGAAAAAACATGATGGTGAGGCTCACGAGTCTTCTGATGAAGAAGATGCTGGTGCTAATGACGCTGAAACTGCTGAAATGGCTAAAAAAAAGAAACGTCACACGGATACGGAGGAGTATGAGGAGGATCCAGAAGCTGATGAAGCTCCTGAGCCAGACGCAGAAGAAATCTTTAGTGATGTAGAGGACGATGCTATGGATAAGAAAGACGGAGAGACGGATGATGAAAGTGAAAATGATGTTCTTACGCCAGAGATGCTCAATTCTCGATTAGAGGCCGCTGAGACTAGGAAAAATATAGTTCTTGCTCAGTCAAATTGGGGACTAGAGTATAATTTTGATGTTACCAAGTATCACTGGTTTACTTTCAAATTCTGGCTGCCGCTGGACTTGATCAAGCTGGACATGCCGACGATTCTTCGAGAAACTACTGAGAGAGTCGTCCTGTGGGAGACTCCGGCGATCAAGCGTGCTTTTACTTTTGAAAACAATGGGGAAATTTTTCTTAAGACTGATGGGCTGAACATCATTGAAATGGCCAAGTACGTCGACATCCTGGATCTCAATCGGCTTTACACCAATGACATTTACGGAATATCTCAAACTTATGGAATTGAAGCCGCAAATCGCGTTATTGTTAAAGAAGTCACGGAAGTTTTCAAGATGTACGGAATTACGGTGGATCCCAGGCACTTGTCGCTTATTGCGGACTACATGACCTACGAAGGGAGCTACCAACCGCTGAGCCGCAGAGGAATGGAGTCCTCTGCTTCGCCGCTTCAGCAAATGACCTTCGAAAGTTCTGTCGCTTTTTTGAAAACGGCTACAGTTAGGGCTAAAACGGATAACTTGATGGCACCCTCGGGGAGACTGATGCTGGGACAACCCTGTAAATCCGGGACTGGTTGCTTTGATCTTCTTTTCAAGTTTCCGGCAAATACAAATGCTCATCAAGCATTTTCTCCTAAATAAATTTTCTTTTTATGTATTCTATAATTAGATAATTATGTTAATAAAAGTTAAGATGTAAAATTAATAATATTAAGTAAATAAAATATTATTTTAAGATAATTAGGGATTTTTTGAATTTTTTTTTACTTCCTATAAATAAAATTTTCTTATCAAAATTTTTTATATTAGTTATTTAATTATGATAAACTATCATCAAATAAACTAGATCTTGGTATTTTTTCCACATATATCATTATCAATGAGGTAATAAGAGATAAATTTTCTAATTAGGAAATCAAAATTCCTAGATTATTAATAAATACACTAGTTTTATTATTATTATTATTATTTATTGTTTTAAAAGGCCATGGAGTCGTAGCTCCTTACGGCCCTTCAAAATACACATTACATTGAATGTTGTTAATTAACAAAATTGTAGTGTATTATTTACTTATATTGAAAAATAATAAATAAGTAATAGCTTTAAAATCAAAACATGAAATAAATTATATGTTTTGAGATTTATCCAATAAAAATATTATTAAAAAAAAAAAAAAATGATTGATCAATTTACAACTTTACCGTCCTTGATGAATAACTTGAATGTCGGCATACTGATATCTTCGCATTCATCTGCGTCAACCTTGACGAAGACAATTTCCGTGTGTTCCTTTAGCAAGTTCCTCAACCTTGGGTCCAGCAATAATTTTGCAGGGCCTGGCACCAGGCTGCGTGGAAGAGTCAATCACGACGAGTTTGCTGCCTGCGTCAGCGAGCCTTTTCTTCAAATCATCCTGTAAATTTATTTATCAATGAAATAGAAAATTATATAATTTATCAAAAATAAATACACTTTTTTATTAAAATTTTTAATACCTGGCAGGCCATTTTTATTAACTATTAAAAAAAAATTAATTAAAATTCTTTATTCAAAAAAAAAAAAAAAAACAATATTGACATGTTGAAATTTTAAAAAATTAAAAATGCAATTTTTTTAAAATAATTCTTTGGGACAAATTTTTTTGTTAAATAAAATTAAAAAATTGTAAAGTGACAGCTAACTTTAATTTCTAAGTAAAAATTATACAATTTAATAAGTACTTACGGAGCTTTTAATGTGGATGGCCATTTTTAATTAATAGATTACACTTATTGGGTAATAAAAATTTAAATAAAAATTACGCAGTAGTCCACTAACTGCAGAGTACAAATCCAGAATGAAAATGAATGGACGCTAGCCACTGGCGTTGCTTTTACTTTTTATTAGAATTTAGTTGAAAATTTATTGTCACTATAAAAAACCATTTGATATCATTATACTATATCTAATAGAGATATAATATTTAGGTTTGAATCATTCAAATATTTTATAATTGGATTATTGCTACATCAAAATGTTAAAAAGTGATAATACTAAAGCTAGCCAAGGTTTTTTTAATTTTTTGATTCTTTTTCATTTATTAAATTAGAACAAAAAAATATTTTTAAAAAATTGCACTTATAGCTTTTAAAGTTTTTTACGAATGAAATGTTTATTTTTTTTTTTTAATAAAAAAAATTTTTTTAATTTTTAAATGTCGGCTAACTTAATTTTCATTGAAAAATCACCCTTTAAAATCGATATGTAGAATTTTCTCATCAAAATTTTTAATAATAATTTAATTATGATAAAAAACTATCAAGTAAACTTTATTTTGGTATCCACATCTGTCACAGTCAATGAGGTAAGAAAATAAATTTTCTAGTTGGGAAATCAATAATAAATAAATTAGTTTTATAGTTATGGTTAATAAAATAATAGTAGTAATTTTAATTTAAATATTGTTTTTATTTATTCCCAGAACAAGACATTTTAAAGAAAATAAATGCTTACTACACTGTAATTGCAAAGTAAAAGAGTGACAATGTACAAATAATTACAAAAAAGCATTAATTTAGGCTAGTTATTAATTCAATTTGCAATTTTTTTTTTTTTTTTTTTTTTTTCTCAACAATTTAAGGCAATTTATTCAAGTTTACGTATATCTGTTTTTTATTTATTTACTTATGTTGGAGAACAATATTTACTAGCTTATCAACATTAGCGCCAACCAAGGTGTCAACCTGAAAAAAAATAATTGTTTATTAGATTAATAAAGTAGTTTTAAAATCAAAACATTACATAAATTATATGAAAATAAATTTCTGAAATTTATCCAATAAAAATATTATTAAAAAAAAAAAATGATTGATCAACTTACAACTTTACCGTCCTTGATGAACTTGAATGTCGGCATACTGTTAACATTGTATTCGGTGGCGATATCTTCGCATTCATCTACGTCAACCTTGACGAAGACAACTTCCGTGTGTTCTCCAGCGAGTTCCTCAACCTTGGGTCCAATCATCTTGCAGGGACCGCACCAGGTTGCGTGAAAATCAATAACGACGAGTTTGCTGCCTGCGTCAGCGAGCCTTTTCTTCAAATCATCCTGTAAATTTATTTTACAATTACAATTTATAATAAAAATAGAATTATATAATTTATAAAATTGAAACAAAAATACACAATGAAAATAAAGTTAGGCTGACATGTAAAAATTTTTATTAAAAAAATTATTCAATTGTAAAAAAGTTCCAAAACTATAAGTGCAATTTTTTAAAAATATTTTTTAGTTACAATTTAATAAATTTATTATTATAAATACACACACTTTTTTTTATTAAAATTATAAATACCTGGCAGGCCATTTTTATTAACTATTAAAAAAAAATATTCTATTTTCAAAATTGCGCGCAAAATTTCACAAACTCCAAAAATTTTAATTAAAAAAAAAAAAAAAAAAATAATGTATTTACAATTAACAAGGTCACAAAGTTGATCAGGAATCGATAGATCGATTTAGTTTTTGCATCGTAATTACAAACGACCCGCCCATACGCTGACCGTATCGCGTCATCCTTCAAATTAATCAACCTCTTGAAAAAGATAATAAATACTCACGATTCACGATTGCGTAATCACAAAACCAATTGAAATTACTTTACGTGATTAATATAACCCTTAATTTAAATAGCAGCATACTCACAGAAGCCAAACACATTTATTTTTAGAAGGTAAATAAAAATGGCGGCACCGAGATATTTTTATATAAAAAAAAAAAAAATAAAACCACTCCAAAAATTTAAATAATATAATAAGTACTTACGGAGTCTTTAATGTGGATGGCCATTTTTAATAGATTACACTTATCGGGTAATAAAAATTTCAATAATAAAAATTATACAGTAGTCCGCTAACTGCAGAGTACAAATCCAGATTGAGAATGCGTGGCCGCTAGCCACTGGCGTTGCTTTTACTTTACACGTTTATTTTGCTATAGTTTATGTCATAATCAATTGCAACTATATACAAGATAGTCCTCATCAACATCTATATATATATGTACACACTTATGCCTTTCATGTGTCATAAATAATTATTTTATTTTTTCAGATAAAAATGAGGAATCATCTATAAATTCTTGATGACTGGGAATGAAATTCCGGAAGAGATTGTATTTTATTCTATATATAATTATAATAATTGTAATGAGTCGTACTAATTATCAAGGTCATACACAATTCTTATGGAATTAGACGTCACTTGTTTTCTAGAGTGCAAGAGTAATGATTTATAATTTTTTTTATTTAACCTTGACTTAAAATTTTTAGTCATTTATGTTTAATTTTTTTTATTGGTTTAAAATAAATGATGTTAATCTTTTTTTTCTAGGTCTATGGATTTTTATAAGATAATTTTATTTCTTCTCAAGTAAAATTAAAAAAAAAAATTGTTCATGCTTTGAGAAGGATTTATTTAAATTATTATTTTATTAAAATTTATTTATTTCTAAGAAATATTTAGTTTCGTAATTATAAGCAACATTCTCAGATAAATTCGGGCCCTAGGCCTCTGACGTTCATTATAATTTTTACGTCATATAATAATCTTCATAAAATGACGCATATCACACAAGCCCAGAAGATTTGTATTAATAATTTCTTCTTTGAAATTTTATTTAAAAATTAAATATTTTCTAATAATTCTAATTATTTATTTATTAAATAAATTAATCAATTAATAATTTATATAACAATGCTGAGATAATAGTTTAAAAAATAAATTCAAATATTTTAACTAAAAAAAATTGAATAATTTTAAAAGACATAAAGAAGAAAATTCGATAAAAATGTTGTAAATAATAAAATATCGAATGTAATAACAATATTAATAATAATATTATCATATTATGTCATATAGAATAGTACACGTAGATTAAAAAACTATGTACAAGTTGTAATATAGGATATGTATAGCATTGTATTGATTCGCGCAGAAGTAAAAGAGTTAAAATTTATCATATATATATATATATAATATCCCTTCAAAAAACGCTTTAAAGTGGGGTGAATTCACTCTGCAGTAGTGACCATTTGAAGGGCTTTTTAGAGTTAGATTTCTGTGAAATGGACAATTATTAAAATTTCAATAGTTATTTAATTAAGAAAACTTGGTCAAGTATCAAGAAAATAGAATAAAAAGTTAAAAATGAGTGACTTGAATTATCATATTGTTTATCGGCCGAACCCCAATGCGGCAAACAGTGACAAGAATGTATCAATTAAGGGCGATATTTACGATACCGATAAAAAAAATGTAGCAGAGTTGAGCAGAGATGATTTTGTATTTATTTATGAAGATAATAAAAAACCAGTTATTGTTTTGCTAGGATGGGCTGGTTGTCAGGATAAATATTTAGCCAAGTACAGTGCCATTTACGAAGAAAGAAGGTTTGTAATTTTTATTATTATTTTTAAGCTGTTTTAAATTTTAATTGTTTATTTTTCAGTTTTATAACTTTGAGATGCACTGCGCCAGTTGAATATTTATTTCTGCGACACGACAAGTTGCCTAGTATTGGAAGAAAATTGTTAAATATTATAAAAGAGCGTAATTTAGATGAGCATCCTATTATTTTTCATATTTTTAGCAATGGAGGAGCTTATCTCTACCAACATGTTAGCTTAGCCATGGATCAGATTAATAATAATATTAAGGTTTGTATTAATTACGTTTTTTTTTTTTTTTTTCAATTAATTAAATTACACTAGCTCATTTAAATTAATTTTTTTTTTTTTTTAGGTAAAAGGTGTAATATTTGACAGTGCACCAGGTGAAAGAAGAATAACTTCATTATTTAAAGCTATAAGTGCGATAATGGGAGGAAATCCTGTTGTTAATATCCCATTTTCATTTGTTATTACTGTATTTTTGTCATTACTTTGGATATGTGAAGTATAAATTTATTTCTTTTCTCTTTAAATTAAAATTTTATTCAGATTAATTGATATTTTTTTGTTTTAGACAATAAGTAATTCTTTGGGGATAACAAATTTACCATCAGCTTCAAATCCGTATACTTTAATAAACGAACCAAACAATTGGCCACAACTTTTTCTCTATTCAAACGCTGATACGTTAATACCTGCAGCGGTAATTAATAAATAAAACTATTATAATTTTTAAAAGTGATTAATTGGATTAAATTTTCAGGACGTTGAAAAATTTGCAAATCACCGTGCAAAGCGTGGAGTTGAAGTTAAACTAGTTCTATTTACGGATTCACCACATGTTAAGCATTACGCAATTTACCGTGATGTTTACATAAATACAGTATGTAATTTTATCAATGATTGTTCATCTGAAAAATTAAACCCCGCTAAAAATAACACTGAAGATAATCCTACTGGCAACGATAGTTTGTTGGGTTATGAAAATTCATTTTTAAAAATTACCAAACAGGTTATATTGCCGATCGAAGCGACAGCAAACAAACAAATAAATTAAATAATCTAATATTAACCTAATAAAATAATAAAAACAAAGTTGAAGAAATCGAAATTAGTGTATGACTTTCTTTGTTTATAATCAAGCTGGTTTTGATTATTTACTGTTTAATAATTATTCAACTGTATTAATAAAAATTATAATAAAGACTGATTTGAGAAACTTACTCTTTATATTTAAATTATTTTATCTTACATGATTTACAGCTAAAGAATTATGTACAAAAGATAGTTTTTTTAAATACATAAATATAAAAATAGTCAAATTGTCACAATTGTCAGATCGCGATATGTTGAGCTCGTCTCAGTTATAATTAATTTAAATAACGAAATTAAACAACTGGAAGTGCCGAAGAGTGAGTCTGATATATAATGGCACCGGTGAAGTTAATGGCAGCTGCAAGAACAAACACAGGCATCCATCGTCCGCTGGAAGCTGTGACCAACTCTGCGGTGACTGGCCCACAGAGGATTCCTGGTATTGTTGCGATTGTATTTGAGATTGCAAAGGTCATACCGGCGTGATTTGGAGCTACTTCTGCGTGGTTACTCAAGTGTCCAGCTGAATTACACGCGCAGAGTCCCATTGATATTGATATAAATCTAAACCAAAGATTATATTAATCTTATAATTTACTTTAATTATTATTAATGTCTTACATTACAGCGAGGAGTAAATTATCAACAGCACAGAATGCCAGCATAAAAATACCAGGCCCCATTAGTCCGATATTTGTCATTAGTCTTCTTACTGACAAGATTGGCCATCTTTTTTGAACCAAGTTATCAGCACTGTGTCCTGCAGCTATTAATTAAAATTTATATTAATATTTTTTTTTTTTAATTTTTATTTGGTAAAAATTGCTTACCAATGCCGACAAGTGAATTAACGATATAAGGAAGAGCTGTAAGACTAATACTCTCTTTGTTTGCTGATAAATTTCTTGATAAATATGTCGGGAGCCATTGCATTATTATATAATTACTCCAGTTCATGGCAAAGTGAGCAATATAAAGCGACCATAATGGCCAATGGCAAATTAATTCCGTCCAACGGATAGGTCTGTTTTGATTAACCTTCGGTCAAAAAGTTTTAAATTAATTTCTCCGAAATAATTAGATAATTATTTTAAAAAAATTACCTTTGGCACAAAAAGTGGTATTTCGTGGTCTTGGGGATTAGACTCGTGATAAAGTATTAACCACAGTAATGTCCAAAATATCCCGATTGTACCGAAGAAATAGAAACCTGTTTGCCAAGGAATTCGCGGACATAACTATATCAACACAAAAGAAGTTAAATAGTTGGCAGGATTTTTTTTTTTTTTTTTTTTTTTTTTTAATACTTAAAATAATAAACTTACAATAGACGCAACAACTTGGCCGACAGAACCAGCTGCAACTAAATAGCCAAATGCACGAGATCTTTCCTCGACAGGCACACTGTGTGCGAACAGATGAAAAATCACGGGCAAACCTTCAATTTAAATAACTTGAATTCACACATGTTTTTGTGAATTAATTTTACTTTTTAATAAATTCTAAGAAAAGTCACTTACCTAAACCTTCACCTAGGCCCAGAATAACTCGACAGGTTATTAATAATGGTATTGAATCTACCAGCAGCGGTGTAATTAGTGTACTAATTGACCACAGCAATACAGCTGACATTAAAACAGTCTTACAGCCAAATTTACTGGCCGTGTTTGCTCCTATTATCTGTAAAATTTATTCTTAAAATAATTGCTTTGGTAAATTTTTATTTGCCACTGTTCATTAATTAAATTATGATTAAATATGAAAAAAAAAAAAAAAACTATTCTTACTTGGCTTGTAAAATATCCGAATGCAAAGGCTGATAATATCCAACCTTGCCAGTGTAAATTCCATTTGTACTCATCAGTCATTTGGACAATTGCTATCGGCATAATTACTCTGTCAGCTGCGTTAATAAAATTCGCTGCCGAACAGAGAGCAACAATACGTGATGTACGTGGAAGCATTCGGAATCGTGCCATTTTAAATAACTCTTTATTATTTATATTAAATAAAATTTGCTAACTAATTAACTATAAGATAATTTTAAAAACTACCAGATAATATTAAATAAATATTTCTATATAAAAAGCTTTGAATTATTTTATTATAACCTCACAGCCATAATTTTTTCACTTTACGCTAGAATAAAATTTTAATTTTAAACTGTACATTTTGAGACAAACTTTTTTTTTTTTATTTATTACCAAATTGTTTGTTTAACTATTTATTATTAAATCACGAATATATTTGTCATTTAATTATTCGTATATATGGTGATGTTTGAGATGTTTGAAATGTGTACGTGTAATTACACTAATGTAAGCGATTGTTTATCTCTAACATCCGCCATTTTTTAAGTTATCCTCTGAACTCACAAAACACAACGGCGCGCTGACTGCAGTGTATCACGCGGGATTTGAAATTTAAATTTGAAATTATAATTATTGTATTTTGATTCTTTTGAATAATTAAAAGTTATAATAAGTTATTGTAAAACTTTTAAAATAATAATAAATAATGAATGTATAAATTGATATTTTAAATAAAATATTATTATTTTTAATAAATCACCACGTGTTTTTAATTTTAATTTTCAGAATTTCATTTAAAATTAAGTTTTTTATTTACTTAAAAAATTAAAAAATTACATGAATATTTTTTTTTTTTTAAGAAACTTACTAATATTTCTCATATTTATTTATTTATTTATTTATTCAATGATTGTGACATTGATTGTATCGGCCTTCGTTGGACATGTACAAATTTAATTTAAGTAGTATAACCTTGATTTCGTCAGACTTTGAATGCTTGAGCATAACCCGGGTTGTCGTTCGAGTCAAGTAGTATAAAATTAAAATAGTCAGACGAGAAAAATTTGAGCATAACCCCCGGGTGTCTTTTTAGTTCAGTAGTAAATCTCAATTAAAGTAAGACATTATTATATTCATTTATAATTTATTTCTGGACGCATTTTTTTTTTATCAAACATTTATTTATTTATTTTAATTGATTTTTGACTATTTTTCTAAATTAATTCTTACATATTACACCTAATAACTAATTTTTTAAATGACTCGAACGATTAATATAGAGTTGAAAATTCCATCAAGTATTGAAAATAAAGTTTTTTAAGAAACTACTATTAAAAGACTTGACTTTATTTAGTATTGTATTCAATAAATAAATATTAAATATATAATTACCTTACTAACCCATGGAGCTGTGCCAAAAAAGTTCCGCAGTGATATACTTATATCTACTTACAAACAAGCTACTTAAAATCTAATTAGAACTAAAGGGAACAGGTTCAGATAAATGATAAGGCAGAATTTAATTCTTTAGGGTGAAATAATTCGCTTTATTGATTAAAAAAAAAAAAATACGCGACTGGGGAACGGTACTGTGCGCATTCGCCTACAATTAAGATCGTTAACCAGTAACGATATTAATTGTACCGGCCATCGTTTGGCTTGATAATGCCAAACTTTTGGGAAACCCCAGGGAATAAGCCCGGCCAACACAGCTTGTATGATCTGAACTACCTTTACAACAGGGGCTCGATTATACCGCACACATCATACATCATACATCGTACATTATACACTATGGTGCACGTAAAAACAATTATTTACACACTCATACATGTATACAATATACAATTTTATAGATTTTTAATTAATATTTTTATTATTCTTGATACTTTTGAGAACGGGAGTGAATATACAGTAGGTCTAGAATATCAAACCGGTTGATTAGCGGATCGCCGAATCGATTATCACGCCGAGTATCATTTAAAGATCCTCACAGCAGGATAATATGTATCCAGGGTGTAAGAAGGAGCTGACGTTGAACCGCCCGGAGGGTTACGCTAATCGTATATCAGACTTTATCGAGTTTGATTGATTTGGAACGGATACGAACTAATTGAAATTAAAAAACTCGCGGTAATTATCGGTATCAATGGATGATATTGATGATGAATTGATGCCAAATTGATTCACAATACGAAAGAAGAAACAGAAATTTATTAAAAAAGAGGCAACGAATCGAACGCAAAACGTATATAGTTCCAAATACTTTTGCGATTCGATTGTATGTGCGCGTGACTTTGCGCGCGTGACTTTACTGTATTTATTTATTTATTTATTTATCGACTAATTGAATTGTGAAAAGAAAACTATCAACCGGTCTATTGAAGTGTAAGTAATAAGGGGTGGTTTTTGTCGTCAGTTGGCTCTCACGACAGAAAAGAAGTGACGCTAGTAGGCACGGTCATATTATCAGTTCCCGATGAAAAGAATAATGACTCTACTTTATTATTTATAATTTATTTAATCCAAAACAAGGGGAGGGGGGGGGTGGTGAGTGTGTGTGTGAGAGATAGGGTGGAACCGAGAAGACCGCGAGAGAAAAAAATCTAATCGCGGGGAAAAACGGACAAGTTAGCAACAAAATTATTTTACTTTTTATTTATTATTATTATTTAATTTAAAAAATGCCGTTCGATAAATATTAAGACTTGGAAACCAAAAAAATTGATCAAAGAAAATTAAAAAGGGATTAAAGAGTCACCCAAATCGCGCCCGGCGGGCACTCAAGGGGTGAACATATTTAATCCCTAATGAATTCGCAATGATCAAGATTAATTTGCTTTCCCGGGAAGATCTTATATGCAAAATGATGTGTTGCGCACCATCATCAAGCAACGATACTGCTTCGCGCCTTGTAAAAATCTACCGAGACGACTGACTGACTCTACGCTTTAACTGCCCGTTGAATTATTAATTATTTATGAGTACGCAAAAAAACCACCGAACTAATTTAAAACCCAATTATCGATACGACGAGAGAATCTATAATGTAAGCAAACGAACGGAAAAGGGTAAAAAAACTCTCCTTAAAAGAGTGTGAGTAAATTCTTTTAAGAAGAGCCGGAAGTGTGTGTGAGTGTGCGTGAGAGGGTTGAAGCTAATTTTAATTTAAAAAAGGATGTAAAGTGTATGTGTGTCTGAATTTAATGTAAAAAAAAAAATAATCACTGAATTTAATTTAAATGAACAAGAAAAAAACACTATAAACTGAATTTTAAAATTAATTAATAGCAATAACAAACAACAAAAACGCGAATCAATTTGGCAACGTGATGAAATGTTTAATGAAGACACCGATAACTAATGCGAGTATGAATCTACGCTAAAATTTTTTTCAAAACTGACTACTTTATTAAAACTGGCCCTCGGTATATTAACTTTTAGGTACCCCCACTTCAACCCCCACCATAGTGTCCCTTACGTGAATTTTTTGGGGTTGATTTTTTTTTATCATTTTTATAATTTTTTAATTATTTTTATAAGCCAATCGCGACTAATTTGCGATCGCGTGTATTAATTAGAGCAAACCCGTACCGCAGCGCATTCATTCATATAATTTTTTAAGAATAAAAAACTTAATTTTAAATGAAAATTGGAAAATTATAATTCAAACACGTAGTTATTTATTAAAAATAATATTTTCATTAAAAATATCAATTTATGCATTTTTTATTAGTTAAAATTGTTTAAAAATTATTTACAGTACAGCCGTTTTATAAAACTTATTTAATTTTAAAAATATAAAATAATATTTCATCATCTGAATGAATCAAAATGCAATAAATGAATTTTAAATTTAAACTTTCCGTCTCGCGCTTCGAAATGTGACGGAACTGTGGAGCCACCTGCAGTTTTTATAACTTTTATAACAAATAATACAATAATGGCGGCGCGCGCCAGTGTGACACATTCCTCGTAGTGGATTGCGTGGTTAAAGTGTCTGTGTTATTGTGGTTTATATAAATGTTTAATTATTAAACTGTGCAATTACTTGTTTCTAAAATAAATAAATATTCGCAAGAAAACGTTTTTAAAATCTACTAAAAGTAAATTTTGTGTCTAACTAAATTTAATTCATATACTTGAATTAAAATATTACTTTTTAATTCAAACAAAAGTACTAATACACGTTAAAAATTCAAGATTTAATTCACGAATAACTGTTGAACATCGTTCGAGGAATTTAAATGCTACCTGGCTGCATAAGGTTTGTCTGACAATATTATAAGATTCTATTACTTAGCTCAATATTCTCTTGTTTTACTAATTAATTTAAAAGCTTTTACTCTAACAAAAATAACTATATAAGATCTAGTAATAAAGTACTTAAAGTTCAAGGAGTCGCATCAGGAATAATCAACATAAATTTTAATTAAAAAATTCATGTTTTAATAACAATTAAATCACCTGATTCATTTTATGTACATTTTATTTAAATCACACTCATACATTTTTTAATAATTAAAAAATTAATACATTATTATTCATTCCACGATTATATAATTCAAATCTCTCTTATTATTATTTTTTTCGAACTTAAGTAAGAAAAATAATTTTCTAAATATTCTGGTTCAAAAAGTAATTATAAAAACTAAATAATTAAATAATATTGAGAGTAAATTTTAAAAATTTTTAATTGACATTTTTGCTAATCTTTTTCTACTGTTTATATAAATCAAAATTCCAAGAATTTTAATTGTTTTTTTAATAATTTCTTCAAATGTTTTTTGCTTTGTTTCATATTGTAGACAAATGGAGATTATTCATAATATATAACACACCGCTTATAGAAACGTTGAACGTTACTGTTTATTATAAGCTCTTGCCTTTTCAAAAATATAAACTCAGTTAGCTGAAACAAAAATATTTTTGGTTAATTTTGAAATAAAAAATTAAAATTAAATTCTCACCTCAGTCCATTTTTTGTGTTTCGCTTTTAATAAAAACACTGAACAGTGTCATCATATTGTAAACAATTTTGTTGGATAATTTATTCCTGAATCTAAATAAACAAATAATTATTTAATTATATTTATTTAATTAATTTATTGTAACTAAACTATCAATAATTTAATAACTACTTTTCTTGCAGCAAATCAAATAAGTTA